ATGGGGTCAAAATTGTTATTTACCTTCTATGTATGTTATGATTAGGTGTATAAATATATGTTGAACTTAGTTAAGTGCCATCACATTTCTATATAGAGAAACTATTTGTAAGTTAGGAAGCTAACACATTAATTTACATCAATGGTTTCTATTTGGCAAGTTCTTGCAGTGATAGTTGCAGTGCTATACCCTGTTCAAGCATTGCTCAACATATTCATGAAAAAGAAAAAGAAACTTCCTCCAGGTCCTAAAGGGTTTCCAATTATAGGAAATCTCCATATGGTATTAGGAAAAAATCTCCATCAAGCTCTTCATCATATAGCAAAAAAACATGGTCCCATAATGAGTATGCAATTTGGTCTTGTTCCTGTAATCGTTGCCTCATCTCCTCATGCGGCTGAACTATTCTTAAAAAAACATGATATTGCTTTTGCTAGTAGACCATATAATGCAGCTGGTCAATACATTGCATATGATCACAGAGATATAGTTTTCGGAAAATATGGACCTCATTGGAGAAATATGCGAAAATTGTGCACGATAAAATTGCTTACTAACATCAAGATCAATTCATTTCGATCTATGAGAAAACAAGAGCTTGGAATATTTGTGAATTCTCTCAAACAAGCAGCTTCTAATCATATTGAGGTTGATCTTAGTGCTAAACTTGCCTCTCTAAGCGCGAATATGTCGTGTTTAATGGTACTTGGGAAGAAGTATATGGAAGAGGAGTTTGATGATAGGGGTTTTAAAAATATAATGGAAGAGACTGTAGTTATAGCAGCCTCACCAAATATTGGTGAGTTTTTTCCTTTCCTTAGTGTGTTTGATTTGCAGGGATTTATTGCTCGCATGAAGGAATTGGCAAAGATTTTTGATGATTTTTTGAGAAAGTTATTGATGAGCATGTTCAATCCAAGGACCAAAAGAAGGCTAAGGATATTATTGATACTATGATGACTATTATGCAATCTGGAGAAGCTGAATTCAAATTTGATCGTCGCCATGTCAAAGCTGTCTTGCTGGTAACGTTATTGGAATTCACTCCATCTACTTTAGTAATTGGATTTAACTTCTATACTTCAAAAATAATAATTAAACTTCTTAAATCGTTTTTACCCATCTAGTATTCGGTACTCAATGGCCCAATAAATTCAGATTTGCCTCGTGTAGCACCATTATAGGGGAATCACTCTCTACCATGAATGTCTTCATTCTTGAGACTTGAAACCGAGACTCTAATTAATGATAGGTGTATTTCATCTATCCCAACATATCCCTCGTTGGTCATTACTACTCCCTCTAGTCAATATTAAGTGAATTGTTGGGACTTTTTTCATAGTTCAAAAATAAGTGAATTGTTCAAAGTTAAAGAGAATTGTTGGGACTTTTTCCATGTTTTCCCTCTATTTAATAATGTTCTTAACTACTATACATTTTTTAGGAGAATAATTTGGGAATAATCAAAAGGGTAATAGTAGAAAGTAGCCTTTTGTTTATGTCCTTAAATATTTTTCTTAGGGTGTGTGTCAAACCCCAACAATTCACTTAATATGGACCAGAGGAAGTAGTATTTTAACCTATTGTAATAGGCTATTACCTGTTTCTTCTTTTTTCAGATAACTGGTCACACTAGTTATGGAAGGTTATTTATAATTATATTTTAGATGACCTAAATATGGTAGATATTCTTTCCGGTATGGAGAAGTTAACCTACTAATTAATTTGTTCAAATTATAACATCAATGGTCACCAAGGAGCTTAGAGTTGAAAGTTTAATATTAGGCTCAATTTGGCAAATTCCAATAATTACTAAGAGCAGTAGTACAGTACTATGCGCGATTGTAGGCTCAAATTTATTGAGAATTTCTCTCAATTGAAAATTTCAAATAAAGAAAAGGGAATGTGCACAAATATGCTATTTCTTCCATATTGGAAGTTTATTTCTTAATTGAATCCTATTTATCAGTATGCTAGAACTTTATTCCTTTAATATTCCATAATGAATAAGTTCCCTGAAGGCAAAAGCTTTTGTCAATTTTGAGAGCGAATAGATTAAGAGTAATTCATAGTATTGTACTTAGCATGCTTGTGATCAATATTGTTATTGCTTTAGCAAACTGAAAAAGACCTCCTCGTAAATGCAGGACTTGCTAATAGCTTCAACAGACACTATATCAACTGCAATTGACTGGATTTTTTCTGAACTTTTAAGACACCCTAAGGTTATGAAGAAACTACAAAATGAGTTGGAACAAGCAGTTGGCATAAATAGAATGGTGGAAGAGTCAGACCTGGAAAAGCTAGAGTACTTAGACATGGTTATAAAAGAAGGACTTAGGCTGCACCCCCCTTCACCACTATTGACACCTCATGAATCAATTGAAGATTGCATAGTTGATGGTTTTGATATACCTAAAGGTTCAAGACTTTTTGTAAATGTTTGGGCAATTGGAAGAGATCTAGAAGCTTGGCCTGAGCCCGAGAAGTTCATGCCAGAAAGGTTCATTGATAGCAACATTGATCTTCGTGGGCATGACTTTCAACTTTTACCATTTGGCTCAGGCAGAAGAAGTTGCCCTGGATTACAACTAGGGCTCACCACCATTCGCCTAGTGCTAGCACAATTTGTGCATTGCTTTGATTGGGAGCTACCAAATGGTATGATGCCAAACCATATAGACATGACTGAGAAATTCGGCTTAGTGACACCTCGAGCTCAACATCTAATGGTTATTCCTACTTATAGATTGAATGTATAGTTGACTTAAGTCTTACTAGAAGCTTGAGTGAAAATCTAAGTTTCTTTTATTTCACAAAAAAAATAAAAAATAATCTAAGTTTCTAATTCTGAATTTCTATTTAATAGAATATAAATATCTATGACGTACTTTGTGTGAATCCTCTGATAGAGAAGGGTGCTTTCAGGAATGCAAATAAAGGTAGTGCATTGTGCCATTAGATTGTGTTGTAAGTTCCTTGGAGAATGCACAACTCTCATGTTTAGTTGTTGTTTTTTTAATGGTGACATTTAAATAGAAATAATGTTCTCTTCTTGATATACTCTCTTCGTCCTATTTTATGCGATGTTATTTGTTTCGACATGAAATTACAAAAGAAAAAAGGACTTTTGAAACTTGTGATCTAAAAGAAATTCATTCCCTCTACCCTGTGGATGTTAATATCCATTCAGGAATTGGCTTAATATGCTGAATTTGCTTCAGAAATTTCTTAGAGCACTCTACAGTATTGGGAGTGCTGGTACACATGTTTATTGGATATACTACTTATTTGTTGTTTCCACCTCATGCAGTGTTTCTTCTGTTGCTTGGTTTACGTCACATCAGTATCCAACTTTTGTAAAAAATGATTAGAGTCTGTTGGCCAATTCTCTGGTAAGATCTTGCCTCAACATTCTGTATTGTGTTTTTCACAGATATTAATATTGAGGTGATGGTTACTGCTTTTTGTCCTCATTTGCATTGGCAGTTGCAAGATGTTGACTACACTAATTTTATCCCTGATTATTTTGCAATTGTTGATTGTGAAAGAACCATGCATAAGATAGGTGGAACTCTTCTAATTAATAGTGTATATATATTGGTGCAATCTTCAGTTCAATGTTATCAAAGGCGCGCTTAACCCCTGAAGCGAGGCTCAAAACGTGTTGACTGCTTTGCCTCGCTTAATGTGCACTTTAGTGTCGTCATCAAGGTTCCGAGGCATACTTTTCTTTGCCAATGAACCTCTTCTAAAGAGGCGACACTAAACAATTGATATTTCACTTTATCGTAATTATTTTTCAATTTCTTTGTTCATATATATGTCATTCATGCTTTTAAATTATTAGTCTTGGACTCAACATATATATTGTATTTTTTTCTCCCCTTGCGCCTTTTGTCATTAAAGCCCAGGTTTTATTTGCGCTTAAAGCCCCAATGGAGCTTAGAGCTTTTTTGCGCTTTTTGGTTTTGATAACACCGCAGTTCAGTTGTCCAATTGGTTTGACAGTCAAAATTCAGCCTACACAGTAAACAACCATGGTTATCTCAGTCATGAAGCAATAAAGCACCAAATAGAAATGGATGAAAGCAATTTTGCCTTGGTTTAGTTTCCCTCTGCAGCAAGTTACCTGCTTTAGAGGAGCAAACTTTTCTGTACTTCTTAGGAAAAGCAGAAATGTGTAGCTTTTTCCAAACAGTACAAAAATTGCTTCTGCTATTGCTCAAAACCATTTTATTTTTTTTGTTATTTTGGGACAACCACCTCAAAGTAAAAAAAAAGAAAAATTGACAAAAAAGTTGCATCTAGCCAAACAGGCTGAGAGCCACGGTTATCTCAGATTTTTGGTTAGGGCAGCAATTCCCAGGCATTTTATGCATGCTTGCAGAACCACAGTTTACACAATTGACCTAAAAAGGAATAAATAGATAATTTGAAATAAATAGTCATGGCATTCTAAGAAGAAATGAAAAGAAATATATTGCTGGAACTCCATTATTTTTGGATAAAAACTTCTCTTATTTGGCTAACAATAACGAAGTTCTAGCAAGAGTTTTACATATTAGGTTCAGAAAAGAAGAAATACAATAAAATTGGAATATATAACCATTGCATCTAATCAAGATATATAACAAGAAATTCAGAGTTTGGTAGAATATGCATTGTATATTAAAAAGAAGGAAGAAAAATACACAATTAGATATATGACTATGTAGCAATTAATGGTTGAAAAAAACCACCTAAAAGCTTATTTTCCATTTTTTCTTTACTCCATGCGTCTAAAAGAGAGTGTATCCACACTCTTTGCTGAGACTATCAAGTAGCCATACGTAGGAAGGTAATTAGAACTACAAAAAAGCTAAGGTGTACACTGAATAATCCTAATGAGGTATTCAGTCTACTATTATTGTATATTAACTTGAGGTTGTTATTCTAGAAAATCCTTAATTTGGCTTTGGTTGAACCCATCAAATGTAAATCATGAATCTGCCTCTGTTCTAGAGTGATGAGAAAATTGGGACACCTGTTGAGCTCCCTCCGCTATCAACAATGAAAATATTGCCGGATACATACTCTGAAGAAGAATGGATTAAATACCTGACAACTGATGTTATAGCTGGATCTGTCGTTCCAAGATCTCTCAAAGGAAAGGTTCTGAAAACAAAATTATGAAACCGTTCCTTTTGAATAAGTCTCTCTGTTATCTCAGATTTGAAAATTCCTGGTGCTATTGAGTTCACTCTTATCTTGTATACTCCCAATTCAAGCGCCATCATCTGTCATTATTTGAATAACAGAGAAGAAAGTAAATGAACATTTTGATGATATATCAATGGTAGATGCACCCAAGAAAAGTTTAAGACACTAGCTAGTATGTACCCTAGTGAGCATGTCAAGAGCCATCTTTGAAGAAGCATAAGCAAGACCCCCAGGTATTAGTACCCGATTCAGACCAGAAACTGAAGAGATATTAATAACTGATCCTCCGCCCTGTTTAGCATCGCGCATGCGTCTACAAACATATTTAGACACCAACCATACCCCTCTGAGATTTGTCTTAAAGGTATGTTCCCATTCCTCCTCGGACAATTCTAGTGCAGAGCTCACACTACCTATATATATATATATATATATGATGATAAATAACCAACAAAATTCTTTATCAAGTTCAAACTTCAGGTGCAGCATTAGTCTGAACTTCACTTGCATTAGATTTAAAACTGCATACCAATGCTGCAACCGAACTTCATAGAGATTCTAATCCAAGACTTACATTTGCTTGGCATAATACATAAATATGTCATTTAACTTGGTCCCAGCTCACATTTATGCCATTTAACTTTGGGTGTGCACAAGTAGGCACTTAAATTTGTATAAAATTGAACAAATAGACACACGCGTCCTACATGGCAATTTGAGTTCTACATGGTGTCCTACGTGTATTATGTCATATAGGACTAATGTGTCTACCTGATCAACTTTATACAAGTTTAAGTGTCTACTTGTGCATATCCAAAATTGGAGGGCATAAATGTGAAATGAAACCGAGTTAAAGGGGACATTTATGTATTATGCCTATTTGCTTTCACATCATGTTGAAGTGTGTGACATCTCATCTAAAATATTTACTTTTTTTTCTTTTAGAGATTACACTTATATTTACTTGATTTACTTCTAACTATATGAATATTACCTCTAAGGCCGGCATTGTTAATCAAGGCATCGATACGTCCAAAGGCATCCCAGGCTCTTTGTACAACAGCCTCAACAGTAAAACCATCAGCAGTTATGTCAAGTTCTAGGGCGAACGCACACTGCCGGCCCTCTGAATTAATCGCATCACAGAGAGATTTCAGTCTGTCAAAACGACGAGCAGAAGCAATGATGCTGCAACCAGCTTTTGCCAAGTCGAGACAGATCTCTCGCCCGATTCCTGATGATGCCCCTGTCACCATCACTACTTTTCCACTCAGGTCTTTCCATGACTCCATTTTTATTTGGTATATATAGTATAATGTGATTATAATGCAGAAAGTTATATAGAAAATAAGTATGTTTTATGACATTGTGGTAGTGTACCAATATTATTGCTGGCTAATGTTGGCACCAAATCTAAGTTGTAAGTTGGCAATCTATCTAGCATTTGTGAAAATGGCCAAATGGCCAACTCTAGTTAAGACTTTTAGCCTTTTATGTTTAGTAGCAAAATGAAAATGAGTAAATTTCATAAATGCTCATATAACTGTGACTTTTTTTTCACTAAAGTCACATAACTATATTTTTTAACTGAAAAATCACAAAACTTCCATACTACTAACACAAAAGTCACAATTGTTAGAAAACTCAAACAACCAATAAGTGATAATTTATACTCTATATTTTAATCCTTTTTAATTTTTTATCTTATAAATACATACTCAATTAAAAGAGGACCGACTCGACTCGGTTGTAGTTAATGTATATTGAAAAGCATTACATTTTGTGGCTAGTAAGAAATGAATTTCATGGAGTAATAATTACTACTACTAGTTATCGTCTCAAAGATGCATCAGAAGTAATAATCTTGTGATAATTTTATTCTAATTGATTGACCCCTTTTATTTTATGATTGATTATAGCTGTTTTTTGGAGTATTTTGATGAGATTGTGAGAAAATAAAAGGTATATAAAAGAACATGTCTATAACTTAATAGATGAAGGTCCAGTGGTTCTAGAGTTAGCCCAACTATTATTATTACTGTTATTAATATATGGTGTCATCTGTAATGCAAATTAGTGAAGTTACCCATTTTCTTCCTCTTTGTAGATTTGTCTATATACGCATTAATTGGAAGAATTTTCATGCTAGAGTCTAAGAGAATTTCACTGAATTTACTTCTTGTATGCGTTTGAATTTATTCCCTCTACCTTTTGATGTTAATATCCATTTCAGGGTAGCTACGTAGATGAAGATGCAGATTACAATATTTATTTATGATTCTGTTGCAATTTTTTATTGTGAGAGCAGCGCATGCATAGGATAGGTGAAACTCTTCTAATTAATAGTGTGTATGTATTGGTGTAATCGTCAACTGTCCGATTTCTTTGACAGTCTAAACTCTAAAGAGAATCATATCAAAAAGTTCAGCTTATACAACAAACATTACACGTTTGGCCAAAAAAATAATACATAATTTGTAGTATTTGGTCTACTATTATTGTATCTTAGTAGCCAAGCATAGGAAAGTAATTAGAATTACAAAAACGTTAAGGTGTACACTGAATAATCCTACTGAAGTATTTAGTCTACTATTATTGTATCTTAAATTGAGGTCGCTATTCTAGAAAACCTTAACTCGGCTTTGGTCGAACCTGTCAAACTTAAATCATGAATGCCTTTGTTCTAGAGTGATGAGAAAATCGGGACACCTGTTAAGGTACCTCCGCTGTCAACAATGAAAATATTACCAGATACATATTCTGAAGAAGTATGGATCAAATACTTAACGAGTGATGTTAAAGCCGGATCTGTCATTCCAAGATATCTCAGAGGAACGGTTCGCAAAATGACATTATTGAACCCTTCCTTTTGCATAAGGCTCTCTGTTATATGAGATTTGAAAACTCCTGGTGCTATTGAGTTCACTCTGATATTGTATACTCCCAATTCAAGTGCCATCATCTGCCATTATTTGAATTACAGAGAAGAAAATAAATGGACATTTCGATATTACATCAATGGTAGATGCACCCTTGCAGGTTTTAAGACAGTAGCTAGTACGTACCCTAGTGAGCATGTCAAGAGCCATCTTTGAAGAAGCATAAGTAAGACCCCCGGGTACTAGTACTCGATTCAGACCAGAAACTGAAGAGATATTAATAACAAATCCTCCGCCCTGTTTGGCATCGCGCATGAGTCTACAAACATATTTGGACAGCAACCATGCCCCTCTGAGATTCGTCTTAAAAAGGTATGTTCCCATTCCTCCTCTGCCAATTCTAGTGGAGAGCTAACACTACCTATACATATATATATGTATGATGATGATACTGATACGTGATACTTTTTAGAAATTCAAATTGAGGACTTTTGTTTTACGTACCATGTTAAAGTGTGTGACATTTCATTTAAATTTTTACCTTTTTTTTAGAGACCGTACTTTTCTTTACTTAAATATCTTTTAAATGTATGAAAATTACCTCTTATGCCAGCATTGTTAATCAAGACATTGATACGTCCAAAGGCATCCCAAGCTCTTTGTACAGCTCCCTTAATGGTAGCACCATTGGACATGACATCAAGCTCGAGGGCGAATGCTCGCCAAATACCCTCTGAATTAATGTCGTTGCAGAGAGATTCTAGCCTGTCAATACGACGAGCAGCAGCAATTATGGTGCAACCAGCTTTGGCCAAGTCGAGACAGAACTCTAGCCCGATTCCCGAGGATGCCCCTGTCACCAACACTACTTTCCCGCTCAGGTCCTTCCACGGCTCCATTTTACTTAGAGGTATGTATGAGAGCAAAGTATAATGTGATAATGTGGGGAGTTAAATAGAAAAACATATACGTTATATAACATTGTGGTATAGAAGATTGAAAGCCAGTTATGTTTTGTGAAAGAGCTGAGTAGTGTACCCATTAATATGGGACCAGATCTAAGTTGGCCAACCTAACTAGCATTTGTGAAAATGGCCAAACGGCAACTCTAGAGAAACTTTTCAACCTATCTTTAGTTTAAAATCACAGGATTCAAGAAAATTCTTTATTTTTTTAAAACTTGTATCAACTCAAGATCAGACAAACAAATTGAAACAGAGTGTGTACTTATTAATTGTGCACTAATGGATTTCTTTTTTTTGCTTCTAAAGTTTGTTGATTGGTCCACATTTGGTTTTATGCATTAATTAGAGGTTTTTTCTTTCTAGAGTCTACAAGAGAACTACACTAACTCAATTTACTTCTTGTATGCAGTTAGGTATTTAATTAATGTACTTCACAAATCAATTAATATGTGGCATTTCCACTAAGATCTCTTTGTTAGTTGTGGGAAAGAATTTCTCATCGGTTTCTTTTTAAGAACATATTGAGAGAGAAGCGTCTAACCAAATTCTTCTCAAAATCAGTGCTGTCAGCTATGATATATAATCATTAGATAATGTGATTGGTAAATAAGGATTTAGTTTTTTAGTAGGATGTATAATGTATCGTCAATTATCAATATGATTCCACAAAGAGAAAGTATATAATACATAAATTCAGACAAAAGAAATATATAGAGAGAAAAGATTATTTACTAGTAGTATACATGCAAGTTGTCTTAAACAATTAAGACTGTTATTATAATATGCATAAAAGGGAGTGAATCTCAAAAACTGTACTAAAATATTTAAAAAATATGAGCATGTGGTTCTATATCATGTACACACAGCTTGCAATATTTGAATCCTTCCCAAAACACATTGCACCACCATGTGCTCCTTTCTATCCAAATATCTCAGATCCAAAACTTTCACTCTGCCACTGCAGCTCCGCTGCCTCCAAGGAGGAGGGGGAGGAGTCGCGGGAGACTTCAACTCTCCGATTTTACATAAAAATCTGATGATGCCCTTACGCCAATTTTGTAAGCTTCCAATCGGAGTATCGAAAGAGGAACTATTGAGAGAAGGGTTGCAGCCTGAGCTGATGCCGAAACACGTAGCTATTATACCGGACGGTAACCGGAGATGGGCTAAGGAGAGGGGTTTGTCACCGGAAAAAGGTCATGAAGCTGGAAAAAAAGTGCTCGGAGTCAAAGTTCTTTCTGCTTATGCTTTTTCTACTGAGAATTGGTCAAGGCCCAAGGTAAGTCCGAGTTTTAGATGTTTTAATACTTTATATGTCGTTATATGCTCAGGGGCATCTCAATAAGATCAGTAACTTTAACAGGAGGCTTTATTTTCTGCTCAATATTTTTTTTGGATTCGAGCTTCCGAATGAAAAAAAATCTTTACTATGGAGCACTTTCCTCTTTTATCAGTCTTGCGTGTCTCAAAATAGAATTAATCGGGAAATTCAATACTAGGGAATAGAGGATGAAAATAAATTGATCCCCCAAAAGTTTTGAGGCCTAAAGCCCTGGCTGTAGTGGCTTGACCCTCTGGCCTGCCCTGTTAATATGCTTCCCGATGCATTGACATTAAACCAGCTCACATCTCCCACGCTCTCACCACATGTCCTGATTTTTGTGAACTTCTCGTTCCATGAGACCTCAGGTCTCGCTATTTCCATTTTCTAGGTCACGTGTTAACCTCGTTAGAAAGCGGAGTTCAACTGGAATAAACTCCCTCCAAGCAAATAACATGCTCTAGTGCAGATTGGTAAAAAAAAATGGTGCTAAAATGAATAGCTCCACCCTGTTTTCTGTTATTTTATTTTTTTTTATTTTTTAAGATTAGTTAGCCATGTGAGTTGTGACCATTATATATATTTTAAAGTTATGTTGCACTGGCAATATAAATAAATTAAAATGTTACCTTAAAGCCCTTTTATGTCAATGGTCAAGTGCAGTCTAAAAATTCAGATTCTCTCATACATTTTCTATATATATATTTGGGCAGGCTGAAGTAACTTTCTTGATGACGAGCTACTTTGAAAGGCTTACCGAGGAATTCATGAGGTAATATTATTTAACTGAAAACTCTTTAATTACTTCTTTTTAAAATCGTTATGTCCGGATAAGCGTGCATGCACCTTAACTAATTAATTTCATGGGACTACATACGGGATAACTCTGTTCAACAAGGCAACTGTTACAACTTATAAATAATGTTCAAACTGTTATAGAACATGTTAAATTTCCAATCCTATTGCATCCAACTTCACAAGAACTGGCTTGTGAATGAAACCCGACATGTTTTTAATTGAAAAGATCGACACTAATACAAATAAAATCTTCTTTTATATGGGACTTTTCAGTGTCTGAGCTACAGTATTGAGTACAGGTTCAAACCATCCAATATTCACTTTTTGCTGCATTTTGATTAGGAAATTCATTAAATATATATAAATATTTGATTATGAACCCAGTAATTAATACGATCTATGAACTCTGTGGCAAGTTCAAAACTCACACACTTTGATCCATTATTATTCACTTGGTTCCCTTTCCATTTTTATTTTTTTTAGAGATAGTCTCTTGTACTAATTTCAATATATTTTTAGGTATGGGATGAAAATGTCCTTTATTGGAGACAGGTCTAACCTTCCAAATTCTTTGAAATAAATGTTAAGATTAGCTGAGGAAAGCACAAAGGACAACACAGGGCTTCATTTTGTGGCAGCACTTAACTATGCTGGAAGATATGACATAACACAAGCAACTAAAAAGATTGCTAGTAAAGTTAAAGATGGAGTTATTCAATTAGAGGATATTAATGACAAGTTAATTGATGAAGAATTAGAGACTAATAAGATTTTGGAATATCCTAATCCTGATTTACTCATCAGAACAAGTGGAGAGTTGAGAATTAGCAACTACATGTTGTGGCAATTGGCTTATAGTGAATTCTACTTTGTGGATAAATTGTTTCCTCAATTGGATGAAGATGATTTTGTAGCAGCTTTACGTTCGTTTCAGCAAAGGCAAAGACGTTATGGTGGACACAAAATTTAATGGAAGGACCGCAATATAATTAGTCTTTGTGTACATCTTACCTTTTCTTAGACTTTATTTGTGAGATTACACTGAGTATACAATTGTTATTGACAGCAATGTAGTAATATTATGTGCGGAGGTTTGGTGGATTAAAAAGAGTGTTTGTTATCCTATGGGATAAAACTAGTTAGTATTTGCTAGCTTCTTTATGATGTGTAGCAGCCTAAATATTCAACCATTCTCTAATATTCTCTACAATTAATTGAGAAATAAAGGTTCAAACTTGACGTTGAACATTGTGATCAGTGTTTTAAAAGGTGGGGGCGTGAGACGAGACATTTTATGCCGTATGGGGCGAGACTTAAGCCTCGAGACATAGGACGTAAGTCTTATGATCTACGGGACGTAGTCTCATGTATATTCAATTTTATAATTTTATTACTAAGAAAATAAGCGAAAGTAAAACTTTCAATTATTTTACAAATAAACTTTAATAAATAACCTATAATATATAGAAAAAAATATATTATGATTTTTATTTGAGAAATGTATTAATAAACAATAATGAAGAAAAAGAGTATTGCAATTAATATCATTACACTAATAATAAAAAATATGATTTAAAATAAAAAAAGTTCAAAAACCAAAAAAAAAAGAAAAAACCCGTGTACTTGCGCCCTAAAAACGTTTTTGAAAACACTTGTTGTGATGGTGCCAAAGAGAAAGTAAAAAAGGTTGAATTGGAAGTTGAAACAATATGTAGCAATGGTTGAAGTTGGAAGGGGTAGTTCAAGAAAATGTATAGAGACGTTACTTGGAAGTTGAAAACATGCACCTTAATTAGTCTCACTCTAATCTATATATACAATTCATTCATGCCGCAAATTAAAAACCACGAGTTGGATCATATTTCACTAAATTTTTTTAGATATATTTATAGTTTTAAAAAATTATTAATTTATAATATAAATGGGATCATATATTTATATAGGAATATTATCTTAAAGAGGTTATTAATTAACTGAGTATTAATTTAGTGAGATTTGTACGTGGGTTTTTTTGATAATAGTAATATTCACATTGATTAAAAAAAAAAAAAAATTATGGGCACCTTCACCTTGTAAGTAGATACTCAAAATATATATCCTATTTTTTAGTTAAACAAGAAGTGAAGATTCGTATTTTTGAGATTAAAAGATCAAATACAAAAGGGCTCTAGAAACCTTCTAAGAGCTAAATTACTTAGAAGTTGAAACACCTTAATTTTAATAGTAATTAATGAGTGTGAAGATGAATTTGATCAAGGTTGGAGCTGCTGGAGGAAAAGAAAAAAAAGGAGGTGTTTGGGATTTTTGTTTCCGACGATAAACAGGCAATTCAGTCACTTCAATTCCTCTTCGTTAAGAATGGAAACTTTGTTTTATCAAACAGACATGGTGATGCTGCACACGACGCAAACTTTGCTACAGTAAGTAAGTAGTGCAATTCTATCTCCTATTTATCCTTTTGTAGGAACGTACACTAATAGTAATATTAATGAAGGTTGTGTTGGATTATCAATCGGAGTTTCTTACTTGGATAAGTGGTTTTCATGATTTAGAACCACCGAATAAGTGGACGTATTTGAGATCAATAACATTTGGCACAAACAAAGGTACGTATGGACCCTATGGCATGAAGACCGCTGTTAATTTGAAACTGAAAGAGTTCAACTTTCAAATAGGAGATGACCGTTCTTTTGGTGGATTTCACGGCACCAAACATGGTAATTACATTGAGAGTATTGGTCTTTATCTCAACACTATCACATCATCCATGATCAACACACACAAAAAGTCCTCTCAAGTGAAGGTGAAAGATGAAGAACAAATATTTGATAATTTGACATCCTCTTGGTTTTGTTTTTAATGTTGGGGATAATTGTAGTTTTAATTCTAAGTTTAATTTGGTCATTATGATATGTTTATTACATACAATAATTTCATAAATATGCATGCAAAGTATAGCAAAGGTATAAGTCTATAAAACAATCTTAAGAGAGAAGAATCAAGGGAGGAACAAAATTGTATGACAATCGAATCACGAAGAAATCTTGAGAGAAAAGAATCAAAGGAGGATCAGAATTGTACCCGCACTATTTATCAATAAAATATATATTTTTATATATAGTTTTTATTTGTGATTGCAATTTATTAACCATCACTTTAAAATTTGTTTGCAAATAATTATATATGTTTATTGGTGATATTTTAGTTGTTTTTGTCTCCATAATCAAAAGTCAAACTAAATATTTACTTCTTGTAGCCCAAGTTTAGGTGTTGCCCTGCAAAGGTAAAAGACTCTCATAATTATATATATTACAATCTCTTAATTAAGAAAATAATCTTCTAAAATTAGATTATTATTTGTTTTTACTGTTTTGCAAAGTACCAAAAAATATTTAATAGTTTTAATTATAGTGTTTGTCTAATTAATTGTTTTTGAAATCACTGGTTAATCTCTTTTTAACATATTACGTATTATACTATTTTGTCCTAAACAAAATAGTCTAATATATATGTATATGGAATACAATATATATTTATATTGCACTAGAAAATAACAATTGCAGTTAAAATAACGAATTACATTTGTTTGACGTAATGAAGTAATTAAATTTGTACTTCAAATTCTAATTAAATTAGGTCTTCTTTTTTTCCCTTATTTTTAGCTCTTCCATCTATATATAAAAGAAAAAAAGAAAGAGAATCTTACACATGAAATATTTCCTCTTTAATATAGTTTTTGTATTGAATAAGGTCTTTAATTTTCCCCCTTTTTTATGCTAAAACTTTTTTAACCTTTTGTTTTACATGTCTTTCTTTATAAATATCGACATATAACTTGTTTATGTTAAAATTAATTTTATTAAGAATGGATATGGATATGATCAAAGTAGGGCCAATCGGAGGAAAAACAACCGATGGAAGTGTTTGGGATGAAAAAGGTAAAGGTGAAATTGCCAAGATTTTTGTTACAAGTGGCACTCAAACATATTTTCTTTTATCACTTCAATTCCTCTTTGTTGATCAAAATGGACAATTTATTTTGTCTGATAGACATGGTGCTCAGTACAATTATAGCTACACTACAACCTTCAATACTGTAAGTATTTATATATATACTTTGGATCCAATGCTCAAACTTCAGATTTCATTATAATTGATTTGTATTTATATTTGTGTTGAAGGTTGTTTTGGATTATCCATCGGAATTTCTTATCGGAATAAAAGGTACCTATTACTCGAATGGTTTGAGATCGATAACATTTGTGACTAACAAAGATACATATGGGCCATATGGCAGCACAAGGCCCATGACAGACGACGCAGTGATTGATATTCAAATAGGAAATGATCGTTCTTTTGGTGGATTTCACGGTCTCAAGCAAAAAACTCGCATTGAGAGTATTGGGCTCTATTTGAAGCCCATTACACCCTCCATGATCAAGCCTACTCCACTCACAAGGCCCAAAAGGAAGAAGACCAATTAATCCTCAATTTTGTTCAATTACAATTTAATCTTAGTTTTTTTTTTTTCATGATTGATATTTGATATTCATATGATCGATATATATTAAAGGTATTTGGTTAAGTTTATTACTTGACAATTATGTAAGTGATGAATCGATGATTGTTCTTTTATTTCCATAATTAAATACTATATATTTCTCTAATTCATGCATTTTTCTACTAACAATAAAGATATAACATTGTATCTATTGATTGTTATAGATATTAGAGATAAATGTTAAAAACATATCACGTATAATTTAGGTGTGTTTTTGACACTTATCTCTAGATATTATGTATAAAGATATCTCCATAAACGTCTATAGACTAATTAACTATAATATTACATCACTTAATTGTGAGTTTGTGACATTGGATTCAATAGATAGTAAAATTCAAGGTTCATTCGATCAATGTTGATGTATATAATTAAAAGAGATATTATATTATACTTCAACTTATTTTACATAAAATAAACAACACTTTGAGAATATGCAAATTAGTGACAAGTTTGTTAATTACCAAAACTGCTCAACTGTCTACCCGAAACGTAGGGATAATTTTGTAAATTACATATCCAATTTCAACCCACCCGCCCATTTAACATCTCTAGTTGCAGGTTCAAACCTAGGCCACATTACTTTTTATTCCTGAATTTTTAGTTCAACCAATTTACTCATTTATAGCTTTTTGGTTGTCTTCTCATTAATTAAAATGCATGTTTCATAATTAAGAAGAAATATTTCATATTACGTAAATATATTTCGTATTCATATTTTAGTTATTCCATCTTCTATCTTACATACAAATATTTTAATTTTTAAATGTCATCGAAAATATTTTCTTTTATATAGTTAAAAATATATTATTATTATTATTAATAATAATAATATTTAAGAAAACCTTATTTACATAAGTAAATTTTTACTATAAAAAAATACCAAATAGGTACTACTTAATAAGTAATCTGTTTAATTATTTTATTTCTCCATCTTTTTATGTGTAAATCACTTTTTATTTCTAATGTTAATGCTAGATCTTTAATATTATTACTAGAAACGAACATATGTCATTGACTTTTAAAAATTAAAAGTGCCAATAATAAGACTCTTCAAATTTCATCCGTGCCACATAAATTGTGACAAAGAAAGTATTATATTATTTAAAAATTATGTTAATTTTATAAGTCACAATCATTTACCACTTAATGTTTTTAGAAAATATATATTAAAGAATTGAGTAACTCTGCAAATTTCTACATAAATTACAACAAAATAAGTAATATATATTGGGCCTGTAATAGCACGGACTCACGTATCTAGTATATATATATATATACACGTTAAAGACTTGATGGATTATTATTGACAAAGAAACAATAATGAATAAGCAAATTGATATGATAAAATATGGTGTAAAGAAGGAAGGGACTGTTTGGGATGAAAAGGGAAAAAGTGAAATAGCAAAGATTTTTATTTACAGCGGTGCTGAGTCCTATTTTGTTAATTCACTTCAATTCTTGTTCGTTGTGGATGGCCAATTTGTTTTGTCTCGATTACATGGTGCTGACTACAACTATTCTTGGAATACAAACTTTAGTACAGTAAGTTTATATATATATTTTATACATATGTATACTTTAATTTGTCACAAACCTTTTTTCTGATGATCGTTTATGTTATATATATTGAAGATTGTGTTGGATTATCCATCTGAATTTCTTACTAGGATACAAGGTACGTATTATTCTAATGGGTTGAGATCGATAAAATTTGTGACGAACAAAGGTGTTTATGGACCCTATGGAAGCGATAAGATCCATCCAAAAGTCCAATTCGAAGAGTTCATTGTTCATCTCGGAGATGATCGTTCTTTTGGTGGATTTCATGGCACCAAAAGAAAGACGCATATTGAGAGTATTGGAATCTATATGAAGCCTGTCACATCCTCCATGATAACAAATTCTTCAGTATTGACAAAGTCCAAAAGACCAAAAAGAAAATAATATATTAATTGAATTCAAACATATATACTTTCATTATGTTTTGTTACAATTTTGATGTTATATATATTTATGGATTGATATTATTATTTTTATATAAGATTACATCAGTTGGTACGTACTGCTTTGGTTAATGTTATTATGTGACAGTCATTGATGATATTTTAGTTGTTTTTGTATGCATAGTCAAAAGTCAAACTAAATAGATACAATTCTTGTAGCCCAATGTTTAGGAGATTGTTTGTACTTATATATTATAGGGAAAAAGGACAAATATATCTCTGAACTATCGTAAATGGTATGTAAATACTCTTCGTCATATTTTTGGGACATTATTGATGCCCCTGTCGTCTAAAAACTAGAGCATATATATTATTTATACTAACGGACATACACGTGTCATAATCTCATCCACCAATCTGACATTTATTAAATATCGGATCGACGGATAAGATTGTGCCACGTGTTCCTATTTAGTTTTCCGTTAGAGTGAAGGGCATATATGTTATGTTCTAGTTTTTAGATGGCAGGGACCATTTAAGATAGTTCGGGGGTATATTTGTCATTTTTCCCTATATTATATAGGTGTTGCCTAGCAAAGGTAAAAGACACTCATAATTATATTACAATCCCTATATAATTATAATTGTAATTACGTGACAATTATATAACTTCTTTAACATTATATAAGAAACAATAGGGGTAATATTACAAATTTATCCTTTGACTTTATTAAATTTAATGTTTTGAGAAATGTGTTGATGCTAATAGCAAGGGTAAAATAGACACAAAAGGTAAATTATCTCTTAATTTTCTAAACTGGATAAGTATTGTTGGACAACTATTTTTAGTAGAACAACTTTCACATATAGCAAACATAAAAATTATATTTGTATGTTATAGCTATAGTTTGCATAATTGCGCTGGAGCGTTTGATTTGTATAATTCGCTAGATACATCCAATTTTATACAAATTATTCAGTTTTGTATAAATTCATTTATACATTGTAATTTGTATAATAAGATCACTATTTGTATAATTATAAGTGTATAAGACGAAAATATATGGATTTGTATTTGATATACACTTTTCTCTCGCTTTATACAAACACAAACGCATTTTATACATTTGTATACCGAATGGGTAATTGTATACCGAAAATGGCTAATTGTATACCGAATCAGATGGCAAAAAAATGGGATGTTTGTTGCGAATTACAAATAAAATAAACTATGCCTATAGCATTTAATTTGAATTAATAGTTTGTTATTTCATATAATTTTTTCTTTTAATATAGTGAACAACTATTGTTGGACGGAGGAGAGTGCATTAAAAAACATCTATTTTTAGAAAATATTGTATTCATAAATCAGGACACACAAATCATAACTAGACATGAATTAAATAAATATATAAATAACAAACCCTAAACAACTTAGAATTCCTACCCAACTTTAAATTATTGTTCCAACACACACTCTATATATATACACATTAAAGACTTGATGGATTATTATTAACAAAGAAACAATAATGAATAACCAAATTGATATGATAAAATATGGTGTAAAGAAGGAAGGAATTGTTTGGGATGAAAAGGGAAAAAGTGAAATAGCCAAGATTTTTATTTATAGCGGTGTTGACGCCTATTTTGTTTGTTCACTTCAATTCTTGTTCGTTGAGGATGGTCAATTTGTTTTGTCTCAATTACATGGTGCTGACTACAACTATTCTTTGAATACAAACTTTAGTACAGTAAGTTTTTATATATATGTATATATTTTATAGTATGCTTTAATTTGTTATAAACCTTTTGGTCTGATGATTGTTTTTTGTATATATATTAAAGGTTGTGTTGGATTATCCATCTGAATTTCTTACTGGAATACAAGGTACGTTTTATCGTACTGGGTTGAGATCGATAAAATTTGTGACGAATAAAAATGTTTATGGACCCTATGACAGCGATAAGATCAATCCGAAATTCCAATACAAAGAGTTCAATGTTCATCTAGGAGATGATCGTTCTTTTGGTGGATTTCATGGCACCAAAAGTGAGAGTCATATTGAGAGCATTGGAATCTATATGAAGCCTGTCACATCCTCTATGATAACAAATTCTTCAGACAAAGTCCAAAAGTCCAAAAAGAAAACAAGATATTAATTGAATTCAACATATATACTTTTATTATGTTTTGTTACAATTTTAATGTTATATTTATGGATTGATATTATTATTTTTATATAAGATTACATCATTTGGCACTGCTTTGGTTAATGTTATTATGTGACAGTCATTGATGATATTTTAGTAGGTAATTGTTTTTGTCTGCATAATCAAAAGTCAAACAAAATAGATACTTCTTGTAGCCCAATGTTTAGGAGATCGTTTGTAATTATATATTTTAGGTGTTACCTAGCAAAGGTAAAAGACACTCATAATTATATTACAAAATTACAATCCCGATATAATTATAATTGTAATTATGTGACAATTATATAACTACTTCAACATCTCACGTAATTAAACTCCGTTAATTAAATTAGTAAGGGTATATTTTAGAAAATTAACTTAAGTAATTCTAGAAGTTGAGGTGCACGAAAAGTAGCTTGAAGGATTCCCAAAACCTAATGTTTTCCTTTGTAGCCTACGTATGGTTGTTTTGGTAAAGTTGTCCTAAACCTAATAGTATAATATATTAATATGGTACGTAGATTCAAAGTGGAGTCCTTTAGTTTTTGAGTTATTGAAGTTACCTTTTATAGTCTTCTTCGATAACAATGATAACAATAATACTTGTTTAGATTTACAAGTAGGATCTATGAAGAATGGTGTGCACACAGACCTAAGAGTTTTCAATAGATCTTTAGCTTAATGGTTGTTAATATATGAAATGATATATAACACAAGAAATATTTGAATTTATAAAAGTAAAATTTTTAAAAATCACCCTTTTTCTTGCACTAGTTTAAAAGGAAATAAAAATGTAATTTAAAACAAATTTTACGTACCTAATCATTTCGTTAAAAAAATATATTTTAAGTACATGTGCCGTTAAAATAATGAATAGTTTGTTTAACGTAGAAACTGAACTCAAAGTGCTTTGATATCAATAGGAAAAACAAACTTTGAATAATCAAATATATTATGCATAACTAATACTACTTCCTAATGTCTTTTAAGGTTTCATGGTTATGATTTATGAAAATAATTGCTTCAAAATATCTGTTATTATAGAAAATTATAATATAATCAATTAATGTTACCATTTTATTCTTATTCTAAATGTGAAAAGAGAATCCTACGTGGTAATTCTAGAAAATTAACTTACATTAATTGTTGAAAGAATCCTAAATCTTAAGTAATACTCCAGTCCCATCCTCTATGATTACAAATTTGACAAAATCCAAAAAAAAATAAAAAATAAAAATCATCTTATTTCATGTTATAGTCACTTTTTTTTGTGAATTGATATTATTTTATTATATATGTTATTGGTAATTTTTTTAGTTGTCTTTGTCTCCATAATCAAAGGTCAAACTAAATATATACTTAGCCCAAGTTTAGGTGTTGCCTAGCAAGGTAAAAGACTCATAATTATATTACAATCTCCTAATTAAGAAAATAATCTTCTAAAATTGGACTACTATTTGCTTTTAATGTTTTGTAAAGTACTGAAAATTAATATTTAGTAATAGATTTAATTATAGTGTTTGTCTAATAAATTACTTTTTAAATCACTGATTAACTCGATCTCTATTTAACATATCTCACGTAATTAAACTTCCCTCGATTAAATTAGTAAGCGGTAAATTCTAGAAAATCAACTTAAGTAATACTTACTAATTGTTTAAAGAGTCCTAAACCTAACGTTTTCCTTTATAGCTTAAGTACGGTTATTTTGATAAAAAATTGTCCTAAACCAAATATAATCTAATATATATGTATATGGACGGTAAAAAAGTATACCTACATTTCACTAGAAATAACAATTGTCGTTAAATTAATGAATTACATTTATTAATATGTATACGAACTTTGAATAATTAATATGTATAGTACAATAAACTTTTTATTGAATAAGGTCTCTCTTTCTTTTTTCCCCCTTACTTTTAGCTCTTCCATATATAACACATTTTTTTGCTTACTCTTTCACTTTCATTTTTCAATCCGACTCACTCCCGGCTACGGTTTGGACCTTTCGCCTGCTTAGAAGTGGATTCGAACCACTGATACATGAATTTTCAGTCCAACTCTTTTAACCTTTTGTTTTACATGTCTTCTTTATGTTAAGTATATAGACATAAAATAATAATAATAACAAAAAGTATAGACATAAAATAAATTTTATTAAGAAAAAAGAATGAATATGGATTTGATAAAAGTAGGGCCAATAGGAGGAAAAACAACAGGAGGAAGTGTTTGGGATGAAAAAGGTAAAGGTGAAATTGCCAAGATTTTTGTTACAAGTGGTACTCAAACAAATTTTGTTTTATCACTTCAATTCCTCTTTGTTGATCAAAATGGACAATTTACTTTGTCTGATAGACATGGTGCTCAGTACAATTATAGCTACACTACAACCTTCAATACTGTAAGTATTTATATATATACTTTGGATCCAATGCTCAAACTTCAGGTTTCATTATAATTGATTTGTATTTATATTTGTGTTGAAGGTTGTTTTGGATTATCCATCGGAATTTCTTATCGAATAAAAGGTAACTATTACTCGAAGGGAAAATTGTATATAATAGCAAACTATTAATTCAAATTAAATGTTATAAATATAGTTTGATTTAATTGTACCCCATAGCAAACTATTGCTATTTAACCTCTCTCTTGGTGAATCTCGCTCGCCACTCTCGTTCTCTCCCTCACTTCTCTCGTTTTTTATACAAACGCAAGTGTATAAAGTGCGTTTGTGTTTGTATAAAGCGAGAGAAAATTGTATATATACATATATTTTCGTTCCCCTCTCTCCCAGATCTCGCTCGCCACTCTCCCAGATCTCGCTCTCTCACTCGCTCTCTCACTATATACAAAACCGCAAACTGTATAAAATGCGTTTGTATTTGTATAAAGCGAGAGAAAATTGTATATATACATATATTTTCGTTCCTCTCTCTCCCCTCTCCTAGATCTCGCTCGCCATTCTCCCAGATCTCGCTTTCTCACTTCCCTCTCTCACTTTATACAAAAACGCAAATGTATAAAATACGTGAAAATTGTATATATACATATATTTTCGTTCTCCTCTCTCCCCTCTCCCAGATCTCACTCGCCACTCTCCCAGATCTCACTCGCCACTCTCCCAGATCTCGCTCGCTCACTCCTCTCTCTCACTTTATACAATTGATCTTTTTGTATATGTAACCAAAGCAGATTATACAACTGCTTTCTTTGTATATGTATAGCGAAATATACATAATTATGTTTGCTATGGAGCGCAATTATGCAAAGTTTGCTATAGCTTACAAATATGAATTTTGTGTTTGCTATATGTGAAAGTTGTTCATACTCGAATGGTTTGAGATCGATAACACTTGTGACTAACAAAGATACATATGGGCCATATGGCGGCGTAAAGCCCATGATAGTCGACAGAGAGATTGATTTTCAAATAGGAAATGATCCTTCTTGAATTTCATGGCCTCAAGCAAAAAACTTACATTGAGAGTATTGGGCTCTATTTGAACCCCATTACACCCTCCATGATCAAGCCCACTCTACTCACAAGGCCCAGCCCAAAAGGAAAAAGAACAATTAATCCCCAATCTTGTTGAATTTCAATTTAATCTTAGTTTTATTTTTTTGTAAAAAAATTATTTCTCATAATTGATATTTGATATTCATCATCATCATTTTATATTAAAGCTTTTGGTTAAGGTTATTACGTGACAATTATATAAGTGATGAATTATCTGTAATGACAAGATTGTTCTTGTACAGTTTTCTCTCATAATAAAGATATATAATTGTAGTTGATTGTTATATATACATTGAATATTAGAGATACATTGAATATTATAGATGCGTTAAATTAGTGTAATAAGTATAATAGTTAAAACCTATTTATAAATTTTAACATATCTCCATAAATGTCTATAAACAAATTAACTACTACTATAATATTACCTCGGTAGAATATGCAAGTTTGTTAATTATCAAAACTGCTCAACTGTCTACCCAAAACGTAGGGGTAATTTTGTAAATTACATATCCAACGATATATTGTAACCTCCCGCGTTGCTCCCTGTTTCTCACTCACATATTCAACTCTCCTCCGACGAGCATCGCCGCCGCAGACTTCCCGCCGGAAACCGGTTTACTTCTTCTCTCTGTCTTTCTGGTTTTGTATTTGGGCTTCTCCTTTCCTTTTCATTTATTTTTTCTGCTTCATTTATATGAATTAACCAAACAGTTACTCTAATTGCTTTGTCCGAGTGCGTTGTTTCACTAGGGTTTTGGACGAAAATTGTTTTCAGTTTTGATACTTTATCCGAAATTTACTTAGTTTTTTCATTCTTTGTGTGGATTCTCTTTGCTAAAAAATAATAATACTGAAATGGTGAATTCTGCTGTTAATTATGGTTGAATTGTTTGTTTAGATTATACAATTCTGCTGTTAATTTCTTTGTTCTTCATGTTTGGCTTAAATTTTCAGGTTCTTTATTCGATTTTCTAAGTGCATCAGAGACTGAGAATTTTTATTTTTTTATGAGCTGTAGTTGAATAGATGTTCAGATTTTTGGATCTTCCTTTTACTTTTTGCTTATTTAGGTTTTAGTGTATATATATAGATTTTGAATACCCTGAATACAAGACTAGAGGTTAGCTTAGTGGTTAGGGGATCAAAATTCACCTTGAGGTTCCAAGTTAATTCCAAACACTACGCTTTTATTTCTCGAATCCCCTAATCTTGAACTGTCACTGGCCATACTTATGGTCTATATTGAAGGAGAGCCTTGGCGTAACGTGTAAAGTTGCTTCCATGTGACCAGACGGGTTCGATGTATGAAAATAGTCTCTTTCAGAAATGCAACGTAGGTTCGAGTCGTGGAAATAGCCTCTTGCAGAAATGCAAGGTATGGCTGCATACAATATACCCTTATGATCCGGCCCTTCCTTGGAACGTGAGTATTGCGGTAGCTTAGTGCACCGGGCTGCCTTTACGTTCCTTCCATACTATCCTATCTGGTTGTAATTGTTGACTGTAGAAGCTATCTATTATCTACACATAGCTTCTCATTTCCTCCATTTCCAATTACTTCACCTACTCCCCTAATCATTGCACCTAGTTCTAAGGGAAATACTCCATTGTTGACTTAAACCAGTAATCTTCTACGACAGCATTGTGATTATTTACTATGCTGAATAGGCGGGGAACTGATCTTTGAGGGGTCTATTTCCTAACACATCTTCTTTTTAAAAATATTTTTTTCTATCATCGCCCACTTTGATGTAAACATGCGCTAAGAACATACTCTATCCTGATATCTTTCCAATTCCCAACTCCTCTTAAAGTCACCATTCTTCAAAATGTGTGTGATCCACTAATTTATTAGCCAAGCTTTCAGTGTTGTCCACGTCTATTGTTTGTTTTCCATCTGGTAGTTCTCCTATTTTTCTTTCTTTCCTTTTTTTGGTAACTCAGATTGTATTAATTACCAAGCAAGTATTTACGAACCAGCAAGTGTATAACTCAGCCTACTAACCTGAAAGGAAACACTCTTTGAACACCAAACAAAACAAGGGATAAGAAATAATAGCTATCCAATAATACACAATAAGAAAACAGCTACTGCTTGAGACATCAGAGTTCATCCTAATTGCTGCTTCGGAAGCTGCAGTTCATCAGCTTTCTCCTCATGGCGTCAGAAGCTTGAACATTACATATTCAAGCTATCTCTTTTGCTATTTGTTTACATTGTTTCACCTTCCCTTAAAAAATTATAGCATTCCTTTCCTTCCATATAGCAAGTATAAACTCTGAATTGACCATTTTAATAAGAAGGGCCTGCTTGCTTCTCCCTTTAATTTCCTTCAGTACAGTTTGGTACTGGAGAAACCGTTATTAGTTTCTGCAATTTGAAAAGTGACTTGTTCCTGTTTTCTTGAACTGCCTAGGTCAAGGTTGAAATTTAACTGGGACGAGCAATAACAGGCTAAATGGTCATTAGCTCAGATCAGCTTTTCAGGTACACTCAAGAAATATTATGAATGTAGATGAAGTGGTGGATAACATATGGTGGAAAAAACTGAAGAGTCGAAATTCTAAACTTGTCTTAAGATTATCCATTAAGAATATCCATTAAGTGAGAGTAGCGTGTGAAAGGAAGTGGAAATTTTGTGGTTGCATTATCAGAAACTTCATTGTCCCAGCAATGGCATAAATAAAACTGCTGAAGTCCTTAATTTATGCATTTTATTTTCATGAACTTCCTTTTAATCTGCAATTTTATACTGATTGATGTGGTATTTAGTAAATCTTAATTGGCAATTTTCTACTTTGTATATCAGCTTCTCTGCACATCAATTGATTCCTTGTTTTACCATTATTAGGTTATAGTCAATCAGTGTTATAGCCAGTGCCAGTCAAAGTGATGCCTGCTATGAAGGTTCAGATACTAACTTCTTCTGGTTCATACTCTTTGTCTGCATGTTGTCTATATCAATTTAACATACAAAGATATTATGTCGTGTGATATCATACTCTGTGCTATATACTTATAATAATTATTATATTGTGTGCTATACAAGTTACATTTTTTGTTCTACATATTTGAATCTCAATAATTTCTGCTCTCTCTTGGTATTTTTTTTAATCAATGAAGCAACATATCTAGACCTCTAAAGGAGAAGGGTTGGTGCGAGGCATTTGGTAAAGTCAGGACGTTTTGATATACTGCAAAATCAATAGTAAATTGACAGCTACTGTAGCAACTCCAGTAAAGCCAAAAGACTAGCTAGCAGCTAGCCAGTGGCTTGAATTCAAGTCTGAGTTCAGTACCTATCGAGGATAACAGTGGGAATATTTATTTTGGAAGGATTAGTTTCTTCATTACCGCGGTGGGGACGAGTTGGCTTTTTCTACTTTCTATGGGTTAGGGGTGGGTGGTGTTTGCAGGTTTCAATTGGAACTCCAATTTGTCAAAATGAATTTTTCACAGCTTTAAATCATGAAATGCCCACTCCCTGGGACATTTTGATGTCCGCTTAAATAATAGAATTGGGCATCCGAGTGTTGAAGACCAGAAAGAGTACAACAAATACGAGCATTCCTAGTGGACAATCGAGGAAACAAAACTTTCCTCCGAAGCTAATTAGAGATTCCTTTTTTCCGGTTAATAATTAGGGATTCCATTGCAATATATTTTCCTTGTAGTTTTACTCCAAGTCAAGAAGTCTGAAACTTTTTCAAGTTGGTGATTCAGTAGCTTTTAGAACTTTTTAATTTCTTATTCTGCTGGCTGGTTTGTCTGATTTAGGCATTTACTTTTGTCTCCACATTCCTTACTTCATGTTTGCAAAATGTGAAGAAGAGAGTTTGATGATTTTTAATCCTGTTCAATTTGAATATATAGGAAATTGAGATTCTCTTTTATGTTATTTGCATGACTAGCTAATATAGGCGAACATAGTGGATATGTTTTCCTTGACTTCAATCCATCCACTACACACTTCCAGTCCTATGTGATGGTTCTATTTTCCTTTGTCCTATTTATTTTAGTGAAAGATCCTTGCATTTTATGTTGGCCTGAGATGCACCCAAGGGTGTGGCTTAGTGGTTAATGAAGTGGTTGAAAAACCATGAAATCTCAGGTTGAAATCCTAGTGGAGGCAAAAAACATGGGGCAATTTCTTTCCATTTGGTTATGTGGCATGTGCCTTGGGTCATGTCCTTATGCTGATTGTGAAATTTTTTTTGCCCGTAGTGCCGACAATGTTTGTTGGAACATTTTTTGAGTTAAATTTTATAGTAGTTTTTATTTGATTATTATATTTGTAATTATTTTAATAATATATTGTAGCTAGAAAGATCCACTTAATGTAGTTAGAAAGCCCATTCCTTTTGTTTTTGTGGATGTTGGGTTGTATTTAAGAAAAAATGGTTCTCTATGATTTAGTTCTTGAGCTTCTTATACTTATTGACATACATAAAAAGTTGGGAATGCCGTTGCTGATTCCAATCGTCTCAATCAATTGATTGGGAAGAGATTACTTTAGAATGCAAAAATATATTATCTTGTTAATATGCCTTTTTCTTTCCGTGGTCAGACTGCTATTCATGGTGGAATTGGGCACGTATTCAGCAAACTAATAAAGGAGATTGGTGATCCTGTTGACTTTGAACTTCCAGATTGGTTAAATAAATGGCAGTCAATGCCCTATACCTTTATTAAGCGCAGTATCCTTTCATTTGATGGTCTTGATATTTGTTACCTATGATATTCTTCACCTATCTATTAGATGTTCTTTCATATTGTGATAGTTTACATCCTACACGTACACTGTTCACTTCTGCATATCTTGGATAAGATCTTTGTGCTTCATCTCATTTCCTTTTTCATTAAGGTTTTCTGTCTGACCTTCATAGTCCTTTATCTTTGTGATCTTTCTTTGTATCCTCTTCTTTTTTCTCTTCTGTTGGTATTAACTACTTGAAGATTTATACCTCACTAAGAAGGTAAAGCGACGTCTGGAAGATGATGGTATATTTTGTTCCTGCAGCTCAACGGCAGAAACTTCTGTTGTGTGTGGCAAGGATTGTCTCTGTGGGTGAGGATGATTTAGATTAAGTTCCATTGGCAGTCAGTAAACTGGAAAACTGTTACATACATTTGTGGAAATATCAGCTCTATACATTAATTATTCTCGACGGTTCTTTAGCTGATAGCTTCCTGCTGTTACGTGCATTCTCTTTTCCGTTTAAGTCTGTGTGAATATATTGTATATAGCATGTTTAGGTTTGGCATTTATACTTAAAATAAATCCCAGTGACATTTTTTGCTTATATTCTTGTGAGAGTCTTCTATTTGCTCATTATTTCCATGGTGTAATTTCTAGCTGCAGACCTAGAGGAGGCAACATAAAAGGTTTAGGTTTTGTGGTGGATAAGATGAGGGAAGTGAGATTGAGAAGGTTTGGGCATTCGAAGAGAAAGTGCGTAGAGGCCCAGTGAGGAGGTGTGAAAGGTTGGCCAGAGTGGCTTTTAGGAGAGGTAGAGGTAGGCCGAAGAAGTATTTGGGAGAGGTGATTAAACAAGACATGGTTCAACTCTATCTTTCCGAGGACATGATCTTAGAGTCATGGAGGTCGTTAATTAGGGTAGAAGGTGAGTAGATAGTTGAGCGTTGTCTCATTTCCTAGCTGGATAGGCCAGCATTGTATCTAATCCAAATAAAAACATAATCAAGAGTATATATAAAAACTATAAACACCCTAGCCTTTTGTACTCTTAATTTCAACACATGCATTTGACATATTCTAATGCTTTAGTGGTTCATGACCTTTAAATACTATTAATCAATTTAAAATGTGTAAAAATAAATATAACAAAAAGAGAAAGGTTTGTTTCAATATTTACTTTATATACATAAATTAATTTTGACTTTGTATATATAATAAAAATAATTTTGTTTCTATCAAAATAATATTTCTACCTCTCAAGATAAGAATAAGATTTGCATACACAATTTTTCTCAGATTCTACTTATGAAATTATACTTGCTATGTTATTACTGTAAATTTCAACTTTCACAACTACTACATTTATATGTTTGTCTATTGATCTCAGCCACTAATAGATCTTCTTCATTAATTTGATTTGTTATTATAAGTCAAATTAACGGACATTGGGGTCTACAATTAGGAAGAAAAACTTTAGTATTTATTATGTGGAATGTTCTTTTCCATGCAACTAGCTAGACTTATGCGTGTATAAAAAAGGATTGAAGTTATATACACTTAACATACAAAAAAATTTTGCAGTGTAGTTTAGCTTATTATAACATGTCCCTTTTTGTATTATCATGTTATTACTTAATATTTGTCATAAAAACTTACTTGTAATTACTTTATAAATTACGTATTACTAATGCATAAAACTTGAACTCGTAAATAACAATTAAATACCTTAGTTTTCTTTCCCCTCTAGGTTCACACATGCACTGACTATTGAGATGCATGTTGTACTAGAAATTCAAAATTCTAAATCATACAAAAGTACTAATTGTCAAAAGGGATCAAAAAGCCATGAATGAGTTGACAACCATACTGCTACAAGTCTTCTAATGCTTTAACTAGATTGAGTAGGAACTCTAACTAGAAAATTATAAAAAAGATAAATGAAAGTGTCGTAATCGAGATTCAAACTTATAATCTAAAGTAACTTTCGAAGTATCTTCATTCATACACAAAGAGTTCCTCTTGTATTAGGCGATTCAACTAACCTTGTATATTGGTAGGAGATGTGACACATCTCGTAGACCAAAATTCTTCTTTCGAGTTTCTTAGATTTGTGCCCTTTTATCCCCCTTCGTCCCATTGAAACTCTTTTAGTTTTAGATAGTGTTTTAATTTGTGTTACTTCTATTCTTGCTACTATTTCTATTTTATGAACATCATGTATATATGATCATATGTTGTGTTTTGGCATAAAAAAAATGTATATATGATCATATGAACAATTTCTTATCGGTTAAATAGAAAATTAAACCGCTAAACACCAAACACGGATTTACTGAAAATCGACAATAAATATCTTATTGGTTTGGTTACCGGTTTAGCGTGTTCACAAACTAAAAATTGATAAGCTGAATCGACCGATGCACACCCCTACATGTGACTAATCTAGGCATTCATTTTCTTACATTTAGATCATTATGGTTTTATTTATTTTTTGGTTAATCTTATATTGTACTAGATCTCTTTGGCAGTTCTTTTAGACGTGTTATATATATTTGCTTGATTGGAAGGATAAGCAGCTTAAAGATTTTATTTCAGCATTTTATTTGGGAAATTTGATACAGCTTTAGAGAAGTGTGTAATTTGTTTGACTTTTCTTAAATTTTACAGCATAATGTTGTCTAGCTGCTCCTCGGGTTGTAAATGTGGGAGTTATTGTCTGAATAAGCCATTCCATCAACGTCCTGTGAAGAAGATGAAATTAGTGAAGGTAGACACTTTAAGAACTTTGAGCAGCTTCAGATAGTTGAACAAATATCACCTGATGGATGCATTTTAACTGCTTGATTGTTTTTAACTACTTCTCATTGAGATGACAGTTTGTGATGCCTTGTGGTAACTTTTGTAATTCTGAATTGTTCTATTTTGCAGTACCTCATTGGTACTCGCTTCAATAAATTTTACTTAAATTGCCCAAATAAAATTGTTTTAAACTTCTTTGGAACCTTTGATATTTTTCCTTCTCAAAAGAAGAACCTTTGTTGGACTAGAAAGTTGATCATTGACCTTGAGCTGTGATTTTGCCATAGCATAGACTTTCACTTCCTTGTATTTCTCAATTGAATTATACTTTCTTATGTGATTATTACCAACACATATGATAATTGTTCGATGTGGGTTATATGTTGATTGTAGTGTGTCAGACTCAATATATATTTGTAAATTTGACACTGGCTGAGAATTTCTATCGCTGGCAAATAGAATGGAATAAGGTAAAATGGTTATCACTTTGGGAGGAAATCCATACTCATCGCGAAATGTTTCTTTGAATATCTTTTTTCACAATGATGTATCTTTTAATGTCTAAATGACTGGTGTTAGTATATGTAAATATTGTTTAGTATCAAAATTGTTTGATTTATAACCGGAAAATAATGTGTTTACAATTATTTAGTATTGATTAATATTGAAGTATATTACCACACATATCTAATGCATGATTCTAGTTTTAAGTTTTGAATAAGAATGTCAATTTCACATGTATTCAGAAAGTTTAGAACATTATGAACAGAACATAAAAACCTAGGACAAGAAATGCATAAACCATATGAATGAAGAAGATAAAGTGCAATAAAAAGACTTGTGAGTTGAGCACATACTTCTTTTTCTTCCCTGAAACAATACCATTAGGAGGAGGTCTTTATGTAACACACATTCAGAGCTTTTTGAATCTGGGAAAAAATACGTAGTTTTGATTTGAGATTGAACGAACCGTCTAAAGACAAATACCAAAACTGCAATTAACTTTAACAAAAGTATTTTGGACTTGCAAGTACACCCAACAATTATGGAGAATATTTATCAGCCTTAAAGGCATTTTCTGGATCATGCCTAGGAAAGTGACTGGGGCCTTAATGAGCTGGGAGGAAGAAGGGGTCCCTGCAAAAGACAGAAGTAGATGGAGAATTATCCCTAGTGCTATATGGTGGGCTATCTGGAAAGAGAGGAATTCAAGATGTGTTGAGAGCATACTGAACAATGTGCAGAAAGTTAAACTTAACTGCTTCTTTTTTAGTTTTTTGGTGTAATCAGTTATACTCAAATGACACTATCTCTATTATTGATGTTCTAGACTCAATTTAATCATAGAGCAGTGAAATTTGGAGTACACTTGTATTTAAGGTTTCAATACAACCCATGTATTGTTTTGTGATATAATACAAAGTTACCAAGTTAAAAAAAAAAAGTATTTTGGACTTGGATAAATTGTCATCCTAGTGAATAGTCTCTTTCTATTCCTTTCTTGACAGTTGTTTCACCAAGTAAAGAAGCTCTTGAGCTCCCCATTTCAATTTTCATCAAAGTGTTTTCTAGCTATTCTTAAAGGTATAATGAATAGAAGTTTCACCAATTTTCTAGCACTTTGTACTCTTCATTTTCTGCATCTACTGGATGCCATCAAAGAAATCAATTACTTCATTAAAAACAAGAGAAAATGAAGGAAGTTCTACCAATGTTCTTGTTTGTGGTTTATTTCTTTAAGGGTTACTGAATTATCCTTGTGACGGTTGCAATTCCCTTATTCCTTCATTTTGGTTTACTTCTGCTTAAGTTTGTCTACTGCCAATTTGATTACCAGGAAAATACTGCATAAAATTAGTTACCTAGAGAATTACGACTTTCCTTGTCATCAAGATAGTGACACTCATCCTACATCTGTCTTTGACCTAAACAGTGAATACCATTCTAACTTGGTCTCATGAACTTTAGACCGTGAGCAGGAGTGAAAAAATCAATGTTAAACAATGCATAGCATGAACCTGATGTCTGCTGATTTGTAGAGAATATCTGTAGAGCAGTCTTAGAGTTATTACATTAAGAAAAAGGACGTCCAGAGGGGAGTGATTGTTTAATCTGTTTATTGCGTCATTTTGTGTCTCTCATGTATTTTGAAAGAAATTAGAAGAAGTTTCATTTTCACCTTTTATTGCTTTGCATTCTTTTGAAAAATGTACAACAATCATATTCTTCCTCAAACTTTTGGTCGTTATATACATGGTTGGTCAAGTTTGTTGACATGTAACATGCAGACTGAAAAATGTGGCTCTGGAATTGTGGCAGATGAAGATATCAAACGAGGAGACTTTGTTATAGAGTATGTTGGAGAAGGTGAGTTATTTCACTTTTTGATTATATTTTGAGGAATAATTTATGTTTTGTGCATTCTGAACTTCATTTAGCAAGGAATTATGCTTACCACTGCAGTTATTGATGACAAAACATGTGAAGAGAGGCTTTGGAAAATGAAGCATAGTGGGGAAACAAACTTCTACTTGTGTGAAATCAATCGGGATATGGTGATTGATGCCACTTACAAGGGCAACAAATCCAGATACATTAATCATAGTTGTTGTCCAAATACTGAGATGCAGAAATGGTATAGAAATAGCTTAATAATTAATCATACTTCTATATCCTCAACCTTCATTCCCAGAGATTCAACTCTATATTACATTCTATTTCCATGTCCGGCGTTTTTAGGATGATTGATGGTGAAACAAGAATTGGCATATTTGCGACACAAGACATCAAAAGGGGCGAGCATCTGACCTATGATTACCAGTATGAGGCTGCTCTTTAATTTTACTTAAAAAATTTCCACCTGTAATGTGTGCAGTGTGTTATTCTTCTGAGAGCTTAAATATCTTTAGAAGAAAACCTTCTTGGAATGTACATTGCCTATTTGAGTCTAACAAGTGTACAGGTTTGTTCAGTTTGGTGCAGATCAAGATTGCCACTGTGGTGCTGTAAGATGTAGGCGAAAGCTGGGCGTTAAACCTAACAAACCAAAACTCCCTGCTTCAGATACCGCATTAAAGATAGTGGCATGTCAGGTGGCTGCCACCTCTCCCAAATTGAAAGCACTTCTATCTACACGTCATGTATGTATCTCTTACAATATCTATAACTTGAGTCTTGAGAGATTTGGAAACATTTGTGTGATTCTTGATGAGCTTCAGTAATTTGCTTTGGAATTTTTACCAATAATAGTAATTATTGGCTTGGAAATTTCTTGACTAGATGCATATTTCCGTGTATGAGAACTTATTTTTGCTGGTTTCCTGTGATTCAATTGATAACGGAGGTGGCTATTGTACTTTTATTCACTCATTTATCTTTCTTCAATTCCTGTGTTTAGTTTGAAGGTAGACGAGAAGTTCTCCTAAATTACAATCTAAGAAAAAGTAGTGTCCTTGATTTTTCTAGCCAGTTGGACAGACCCGTAGAAGAACCCTATTCTGATGCCTAATAATGAGACCATGAAGATTAATCTTCCCATGCATATGACAAGATTTATTCTGAATTGAAATGTCATAAATACTTATACTAAGAGGAATAGTTTGGATCATCAACAACAACAACACACCCAGTATAGTCCCACAAGTGGGGTCTGGGGGAGGTAGAGTGTACGCAGACCTTACCCCATACCTTGGCAGATAGAGAGGCTATTTCTGGTAGACCCTCAGTTCAAGGGAGAGGAATAGCTTGGATCATGAGGGGTAAATGTGCGTGTCTGTTGGGTGGGGTTGGGGTGGGGGTGGATTTTTTTTGGTAGAAGGGCAAGGGCTGCGGGATAGCACATAAAGTGTGTTCTGAGTTGGATGATCGGCAGAGTCTAATTTTGTTTGGCAGTGGCCGGTATCCTCACTAGAGTCAGATTTTCCATTACTGAGTTAAGATTGTAGATATGTGTCTCGGTTTTACAAACTTAGATGATAAAGGTAGACCTGGATTCTTGAGGAACCACAATCTATAGCTTCACCAGTCAGGAGATATGATTTTGGCAACTTTAGTGCTTATTCTTAGTTACAGTGTAAAAAAAAGCTCCTAATTAACTAGTCATCTCGTATCTAAAATTGATAAAAAGAAATGAGAACATAGTTGAGGGAAATAATATAGCTACTTGTTCTTTCCTTTTTATTAGTCTCTCTGCTTTTCTGCCATTATTTGCAGTATGTCATAAGGATCAAAGGAGTTGCATCTGCTATGTTCCCTAAATAGGAAATTTTAAATGAAAGTAATAAATCCCTTAAATACATGTAATACAAAACATATTGGTTTATGTTTCCATCACTATGTGTTCGAATCTCGAACATTTTGCTTTTACAATAATGAACATGATAACATTATTTAATCTTTCACCAGGTTTATCAAACTGGAGTTTCACCAATAGGTAGGCTACTCTTGTTTGCAACTTACTTGACTTTTGCATTGGTGACTTTAGTTTATCTTCTATTTAACTTGTATCCTCCCTATTCAGGAAGCTCAGGTTATGATTCTGACATAAAAATAAGGCGACCTCGTAGTTGCATTGGTCAAGTTATAAGAATAATTCGCTCCTCTAACACAAGGTATGTGATGCTTCTGCAAATTTGATTTATAGGGGCGTTCAGAGTGGTTCACATTGATGATGGGAGTGGGTCGTTGTCTTCTTATTTTAGACAATTCTCACTTCTTGAATTAACTTTTGAGGTTGAGTTAGGCCAAATTTCATTTTTTAACATGGTATTAAAGTAAGATTCGTCCTATTGCTGAAATTATCCAATGTTGAGCCGCTAAGTTATGCTATATCATGTTCTAAATGTCTTGCCTGGACGTAGAGGGAGTGTTAGAATGTCCCAATTGGTTGAGGGAGTGTATTGTTGTTTTCTATAAAGATTTTTGACGATCCTTCCCTCTTTTGGTTAGCTTTTGGGTTGAGTTAGGTCCAAATTCAATTTAATAGGCAAAATAGTTTCTCTTTCTTACTCCGAAAGTCTTTTTTGATCCATCTGGAAAATCTCATGTCCAAAAGAAAAAGTGGTACACCTGGCGTCCTTTTCAAGAGGGACGGGACTGATCCTGAAAGAGAGGTCCTTCTTTATGGTTATGGGATGAGATCACTTTGTTTGGTTTTGACTTGACGGAGTTTAAGAAAATAAAGAAAGACTTTTGAATCTTGTGGTCTTGAACTAAAGGTATGTAATATGTACCAAAATGCCTTTTATTCTTGTGGTTTTAAACATGTCATGTGGAACCTTAGAACTAAAGACTTAAAAAAAAAAGAGTAAGAGAAACAAATTGAAACGGGGGGAGTAGCTAAGATTCTAATGAATTTTCTCACAGGAAACCCTTACTTCAGCTGGCCATTATTCTTTGGGTTTCTTTTTTTGTGCTTGTTCAAGTTTTACTTTTTTCAGATCCCATTGCTAAGGACTCCTATATACTCTATGTTCCCCAGGTCCTTTGGAATTGTAAAACGGTTCGATGCCATCACCAAAAAACATTTTGTAAGGAAGCTGTGATTTTTCTTTGTTGTATAATGGACTTGGTTAGATTTGGCTGATGATTTCTGTTTTAACCTCCCCATCCCCTAACAGATCATGTTTGAAGATGGCTGTGTTCAGTACCTTGACCTGTCAAAAGAAGATTGGGAATTCTGTAACTTTCTTGAGTAATTGGGTAAGCAAAATTCAAAATTTTGAAATTATTATATGTACGATCTCTTTGTTTGAGTTCTGCTTCCTTTCCTGTTAAATTAGTGTAGTGGAAATTCCTGGAAAAAATGTTTTGTTATTTTGAAGTGGTCCTCAATAAGAGAGAGGTGTACATGTGATGTTAGTGAAAGAAATTATAGTAATTAATTCACTGAAAGCCGGCCGTGGAGCATTTACGGGAATACACTTGAAGTTAGAAAATGATTGATTTCACTGTGGTTCTTCTCTGTTTAAAAAATAACTAATCATATAAAGTTGAGTTCTAAAGTAGTCACCTGGCTTCCCAACCTCTTCCCTGAAAAGGACTATATGAGAAAAGGGTGGGGCTGGACGTGAAGTGGCATTTCGTATCTCCTTGGTACCTTTTCATCAATATTTTTAATCTTGTGTCCAAGTTTGATCACGAACTCTTAAGACATGCTTATGGTGATCAAACTCCAGATACATGTCATATCAAGTTTCTCACTTCTGTGTACTTTGCAGCTCTGCCTATGTAAACTACTCAATGCAGGAAGATATACTTTGAAAAAAAAGGCATCAACTGCTCAGAACATTTTTAAATCATTTTCTCAGAACTTTAGATGTAGAGCAATCAGTTAATGTGTGCTTACCTCTTTGGTACTATTTGAAGCTGCCTCTTGAAGTGTGGAGTCAGAAGACAATCAAACACAGCCCAGCTAGTTTCTTAACCTCCAAACTTATTTCCTGGTGAATCCACAATGGATCTTTCTCATAGACAAAAACCAACTATCTAGTCTGTGTAATCATCGTTGCTGTAGTGTAGTGACATTCTAATTATCAGTCATCTTAACATGTCCCTTCAGTGGCTTTCCTGAACCAACATCTGTAAAGAAATAGCATTGTCCAATAGTTGTATCAAACTAAAAAGCATATTTAGGTAAATTAACCGACCTTGTCTTTTCAAGATGGAAGTCTAGTAGATCAGATGTGCCTCTAACAACCAATGTCCTTCTTGCCATGCTTGCTTGCATTTACACTCTCGACTATCTTTCCTGCAAAGCTTGATTCACTAAATTAACTATCCCAACAAGTGACCCTCGAGAGACAGGATTGCCAACTATATACTCCATTGACCAATTGCATTTTATGTTTCTTGCTAGAACCTTCAAGTATCATGCTAAGCTTCTTAACCGTTTGTGCAAAGCATCACGACAACTATCATTGATAGAATGAAGGTTAATGAGGAGAAGATAACTGCAAAGTATAATTTGTCTGCAGAATACTAAACTCTGTTCAGATGGGATAACCTTTGTTTCTTTGCCAGAGTTTTATGTGTTTCCTTAAAACTGTTATCCCAAAGAGACCTTTATGTGGTTACAGACTGGCCTATTGTTGTGCAGGTATTAGCAGTCAGGATAAGGAGATGCACAAGATTCAACCTCTGTAAGGATAGAGGATATGTCATTGTGTCCAGATCCGGAACATCGAATGGCTATGTTGTACCAAATGTACAAGTTTCATTTTACAGCTTTTTAGTAATAATGCTGCAATTTCTGATAGAATTTTTTCCCCAATGCTATGTAAGCATTAAAACGAAAGATAGGAAACATTCTTTACAATGTAGCATAGCAAATGCACCTATAGTTGAACCTTGTATCATAAACAACTCTTTATGTTGTCTCTTACTAATCATGCCTCTTTGTCAATATCAAATGGTATTGTAATTGGCTTGATCACTATAAGGAAACATTTGTACTTCCAAGCCAAAGTATGCATCATGAGTATGGTTTAGTAGGTACTCGCTTGATTTTCAGGATTTACTTTGGAGGCTTGATTATTTCGAATTTGTATGAAGAGATTGTAGTAAAATGCACCTTTCTGAAGATGATTAATTTTCAAAGTTCGAACTCGAAATGTTTGATTAGTGATGGAGTGGTACTTGTTGGTGGGTCACACTTGGCTATTTAAAAGCTTCTTTCTGGCACACAAACATGCACCACCTGATATACATTTGAAAATTGAAACAAACCAAAAGCCTAAAGTTAATATATCAGTTATAATGAATTTACTATGGATATGATTGATTATGACCCCCCTCCCACATCTTCTGACTCTTGTTCCATTATATCTGGATAATGTGTGTATATATATAACAATTGTTGGTTAGCCTGCTTAATTAGAATGATCAAACACGTAAATCACTAGTAAAGATTTCTTTGGTTGAAATAATTTTATTATATAAATAAATTTGTGATAAAATTAACAAAAAAAATCTTTTAAAAATTCAATATCAGAAAAAATATAAAATGAAAAAAAATAAATGAACGTAACTTACCTTATTACTATTACTTATATACTTAAAAATAACTTTTCAAAATTAGTACTATTAAATAAATATTGAATAGAATTAACTCTCTATCCTGATTTTCTTTTCATGCTTTGTCTTGACTGTTGATGAATCCAATCCATATTATTGGCTACTCTTGATTAATCAAAGCTTTTTGCTACAAAATCTCATCTGGGTCTTCCTTTTCTTCATCGTTGTATATAGCCTCTTGACCTTTTTGCATTGGGTTTTTTCCCTCATTTTTTTATGGTGCATTTCAGAATGGATTGATTGATGTAAGCCTTTATATGCAAAATCTCATCTGGGTCTTGCTTTTTATGGTTAGTTTTGCTCTCCTTCTCCTTTTCTTTTTTTGGTTTTTGGTATTGATTTGTCAAATTTTGTGGCTTGTCAATTGTGTTGATGATTTTTCTGGTTTAAATTTCTGGAAGTTGTTTTTCCATTTTAGAATGCTAGAGGAAAAATGTCGTGTAGTATATGTGTTCTATTTTTGATGTTTTGAGGAACTAGCAATTTCATTTTTCTTTTCTGGGAAGTTTTTGTTGTCATGGAATTGTTTGAAAATATGAGAATTTTTGCAAAAAGGTGAAGAAAAGAAAAGGTTAGATCTTGGAATGTTTTGCCTGTTTACAAAGGTTGATTTCATAAAAGAAAAAGGTTAGATTTTTTTTTCATTTTTCATGTTTGTGGAAATTGTTGTATGCTCACTAGTAAGTGTTCATTTCCAGATTTGGTTTAAATTCTATGTTTTTTTCTTTTCTGTCCCATCAAAAATTTGTGAACAATGTGTTGCCCAAGAGAATTTGCTTCATGTATATGAACCTTTTTTCGAAAAAATTCTTATACCACCGTGTTTCAGTGTGATGTTTAAAAGGAAAGAGATTCCGTATTTCTAATCGTTATATACTTACTCTGGCAGGACTAGGACCATCAAGGAAGCTGGTTAAAATTTGACGGGGCATATACATTTGTTCACGGCTTTGTACACATAGTTGGCTATTATACATGGCTTCCGGAGGCAGCAGTTACCAGGATATTGGTGATTCGCATAATGCATATGCCGATTATGGTATTGCACCCAAAACTTCTGAATCTAAAAGCTCCCCATTTAGAAAATCCACAGCTGTTAATATTATTGGTGGGAATCATGGAACTAGATCTAATACAGCCGTTCATGAGCTACTTGAATGCCCTGTTTGTATGAATCTAATGTACCCTCCAATTCATCAGGTATGACATATAGCTTATTTTGGAAATGATAAATTTGCAATTAAAGTGATTCAAGATTTCTTGAAAGTTATTTTACTCACACAATATTCAGTGTGAGGGGCATTGATTAATAAAGTTGAGGTTGAATTTGGGATGTGATCATACTAGCACACTAACGCACCAAATCCCATAAAAACTCCAAAGTTAATCGTGTTTGGGCGAGAGCAGGGCTAGGATGGGCGACCCCCTAGGAAGTCATCATGTTGCATCCCACCTTTCTGAACCCCACTTATGGGATTATGTTGGGTATGTTGTTGTTTGAGGTTGAAATTGGACAAGAATCCAGATTCAAATGTGATGGATTTTAGAAACTCGTGACCAAATAGAAATTTGTAAGCCTAGACAAATTTTATTTTTTACCTACTTATGATACTGATATTGCAGAGGTGTAAGCTAAAAGAGATGGCGTTCTTGTTCGTACAATGATGCTAATGACCCTAACATATACAATCTACAATACTAGCTTAATCCTTGATGTAGAGTAGAGTAGCATTCATTTTCTCTCACTAATGTCCAAAAAGTGCATATAAATTTTTTGGCATAGCATCAACCAATGGTGTGGCCTAGTGGTCAATGAAATAGGTTGTGCACCATGAGGTCTCAGGTTCAATTTCCAATAGAGACAAAAATATCAGGTGACTTCTTCCCATCTGTTCTAGCCTTGGTGGACAGAGATACCTGGTACTTGTTTCTGATGGGAGGTGACATGTATCCCTTGCAATTAGTCGAGGTGAGTGCAAGTTGGCCCGGACACCAAAGTTATCGGAAAAAAAAGTTGGCATAGCATTTATGTGCTGGTGCAATTCTTCTAAAAATGTCTCTACCTCCTGGAGTTTGACAAACTGAACATGTGATGTGCTATATTTTCCTCAATGAGAATTGGCTGTTTTTGAATAGTTTTCAAGTCATTGAGACATAAAATTCAATTTCTGAAATTCTCATCCTTAGAGTTTGAGCTTTTCTTCTAATAGGATTTGTGACAGATAGGTGAAAGTTTTCTGCTTTTTCAATGCATGTTCTATTTTTTATCAGTAAAAGGAAAGGGGGATCCTAATTTGCATCAGCATAAACATACTAAGCTATAGACTAAAAACTCTACATATCTGCACACTTTAGACATATTCCATATGTCTCAAAGAAATTATGTGATAAGAGCTGATATAGCGCTTCATTTTATATTGTATAAAAGATGCCAAAAGCAATAATTATTTTGTTTATTCGGGATAGGAAAGTTGAATAGTTGGCCTTGAGAAATGTAGAAGTGTGAGCTAAAATGTTTCTTACATCAAGTTCATTAGAAAAATTTTAAAAGATGACATATATTTGAGAAATGGCCTTTAATTCCTAGTTTATTTTGGTGCACCCATTAGGTTTCATCTCATATATATGATCAGTGTCATTTATAGAAAATTACATTTTTGTAACTTATTCTATACTTTTTAGTTTATTCCTTGTATACTAGAGATTTTCCCATCATTAACAGAATTATTTTACCTTATAAAATAAAAGGGCATCCAAGTGCATAAAGCATACCGCATTGGCACGTTCACACAAGGTTCGGGTAAGGCCTCGCCCCAAAGGGTTCTGATGTAGGCAGCCTACCACAACACAAGCATCAGTGGAATCTTCCACTGCTCGAACCCATGACGTATAGGTCACATGGAGACAACCTTATCATTACTCCAAGGTTCTCCTTCATTTACCTTATCAAAAAGGAAAAGAAAAGCAAGAACCTTCATTGTAGTAAATTGGGTAATATTTTCAGATAACCAAAACTGGAATGTAGGATGTCAACGTTTGGAGATACAGGACATTTGTTAATTAAAGTAAAAAGAGCCCTATCCAGTAATCTTATATTTCTTTCACTTTAGTTAAGTTGTCATATTCTTTTTGACCTTCTATTAATTTCACTCTCAACTCAAATTTTTTCATCTTCCGTGTGTGAAGTGTCCAAATGGTCATACTTTATGCCTGAAGTGCAAGTCAAAAGTCCATGTGTGCCCAATTTGCCGCCATGAGCTTGGAAACATAAGATGTCTAGCATTGGAGAAAATTGCAGAGTCACTGGAGTTGCCATGCCGATACCAAGTTTTTGGCTGTCAAGATATATTCACTTATCACAGTAGGCTTCAGCATGAGCAGAACTGCAAATTTCGTCCATACAACTGCCCTTATGCAGGATCTGAATGTACTGTTACTGGTGATATTCAGTCCCTTGTTGCACACCTCAAAGATGATCACAAGGTTGACATGCACGACGGCTGTACCTTCAACCATCGCTATGTCAAATCCAATCCTCAAGACGTTGAAAATGCTACATGGATGTTGACTGTGAGTTCTCTCTTTCTCTCTCCCCCATTCCTTTTTTCCTTAGCTTAATTAGAGAGGCCAGAGGATAGTAAGTTAACTCGTAGTTCATTGCACAACTTGATGGTGCTCTATACTGATTGTCTGCTAGTTTTTGCAACCCTTCATCATGATAGAGCTGCATAATTTCATCAATCACATACCATTTACCAATTCAAGGCTCAAAGCAGACATCAAACTCAGTAATAAGGACTTTTTTTTAACTTCTGGAAATGAAATGTACTAGATAAAATGCCTTACATGAGGGTTAAAAGAGTTAGTCGTTAAGCTCTTTTGCTAGTGTAGAAATGTGATTCTGCCATGTCTCAAGTAGACGATAAGAACATATTTGGTGCATGTTTGCAGTCTGATGATAATGTTCATGGACTGTATTCTTTGGAATGTGTTAAGTATGAACATTCACTCAAACTTCCGATTGCATCCTTATCTCCTTATTGAAAGCTCCTAACCCAAATGATTTTCCTACCAGTTTCATGCTAGGACCAAGTTACGTAGTATTTTCGGGAAAGGGATTTAATAAATTTGTATTTATTATTTATATTTAGGTAATCTTTCTGACAGCGTGGATCATTTATGTAATATTTCTTTTGCTAATATATGTCGTAGGTTTTCAACTGTTTCGGTCACCAATTCTGCTTGCACTTTGAGGCTTTCAACGTTGGAGTGGCACCAGTATATATGGCATTCCTTCGTTTTATGGGTGATGATGATGATGTGAAAAAATTTAGTTATAGTCTTGAAGTAGGTGGCTTTGGCAGAAAGTTAATATGGCAAGGAGTTCCTAGGAGCATCCGTGATAGTCATAAAACTGTCAGAGACAGTTTAGACGGGCTGCTCATTCAAAGGAGCATGGCACTCTTCTTCTCTGGTGGTGACCGGAAGGAGCTAAAGCTGAAGGTGGCTGGGCGCATTTGGAGAGAACCATTGTAAAAAAGAAATATGGTCTTCTTCCTCAGAGATAGCATCAATCCGGCACCTTGCCAATTCATCATATACAGTAGATTTCGTCCTAGGCCATATTCCTGATTGACTGGTGGCTTATCTTTTGCATTTCTTGTAAAAATATATAAGTTGTTGATGGTTCTATCTAGGTTCAGGTTTTTGGATCAATCAATTTATGTTGAATTTTTGTATAATTTTTGTGTGTATTGGCTGCTATTAATCGCCACTAAAATTATGCATTAGCAGCGGCATTTGTTGCCACAATTAGTCACTACTAATTGTGGCATTCACAGGGACTAAAGTTAAGAGTATGTATTTGCAGCAACTTTAGTCGCCGTTGCCCCTAAAAGTAAGTATTAGCAGCAAGCCAGCAAATTAAACACCACGAATGCATATAATAGTCGCCATAAAAGGTAGTATTAGTAGCAACTAAAGACGCCGCAATACAGATATTAGTCGACAATAAGAAATAGAATTAGTGGCAACTGTAACCTCCTTTACATATATATATATATATAGTACGTTGCTAAAAGGTAGTATTCGTGGGTGGAAACTAAAACAAGCGCAAAGACACATATAAGAGTTGCCGCTGCCACCAAATCAAAAAAAGGTCACCGCTAAAAGTTAATATTAGTGGCAGCTAAAACCGCCACTAATTCACATAACAGTTGCCACTAAACGTTTTAGTATTATTGTCAACTAAAACAGCCACTACATCATAGAACAGTTGTGCTAAACGATAGTGTTAATGGAAACTTAACCGCCACTAATTGATATAAGAACTGATGCTAAACGCAACTAAAACAACCACTGATTCATATAAGAGTAACCGCTAAAAATTAGTATTAGTGGCAAAAGAAAACCGCCACTAATTCTTATTATAGTCGCCGCCAAAAGTAAGAATTAATGGAACAAAAATGTGACACAAATTCACATAACAAACGTTGCTAAAAGTTAATATTCATGGCAACTAAAAATGCCACTAAATCATATGACAATTGCCGCTAAATGATTGTATTAATGGCAACTAAAACAACCACTAAATCATTAAACTATTTACGCTAAGAGATAGTATTAGTGGAACCTAAAACCACCACAAAGTCATATAAGAGTTGCCCCTAAAAGTAAGTATTAAGGGCAATAATAACCGCCACAAATCATATAAGAATGCCGCTAAAAAGCAAGTATTAGTTGCAACTATAAACGCTACTAAATCATATAAGAGTCGCCGCTAAATGATAGTATTAGTGTCAACCGTAGTCGCCACTAAATCCTAGATAATCTACCGCTAAAAGTTAGTATTAGTGGCAACTATTGTCGCCACTAAATTATATATAACTCACTGCTAAAAGTAAGTATTAGTGGCAACCATAGACGCCACTAAATCCTAAATAAGCAGCCGCTAAAGGTAAGTATTAGTGGCAACTATAGTCGCCCCTAAATAAGCTGCCGCTAAAGGTAAGTATTAGTGGCAACTATAGTCGCCCCTAAATAAGCTGCCGCTAAAAGTAATTATTAGTGGCAACCCAAGTCGCCACTAAATCATACATAAGTCGCCGCTAATAGTAATTATTAGTGGCAACGGTAGTCGCCAGTAAATCCTAAATAAACCGTCGCTAAAAGTTAGTATTAGTAGCAACTGTAGTCGCCACTATATCCTAAATAAGCCGCCGCTAAAAGTTAGTATTAGTGGCAACTATAGTCGCCACTAAATCATATATAAGTCGCCGTTAAAGTAATTATTAGTGGCAACTATAGTCGCCGCTAAAAGTAGGTATTAGTGGCCACTATAGTCACAACTAAATCATATACAAGACGTCGCTACAAGTAAGTATTAGTGGCAACTATAGTCGCCACTAAATCTTAAATAAGCCGCCGCTAAAAGTGAGTATTAGTGGCAACTATTGTCGCCACTTTATCATATACAAGTCGCCACTAAAACCATGTATTAGTGGCGACTGTAGTTGCCACTAAATTATATATAAGTCGCCGCTAAAAGTTATTATACGTCATGCTTTCATAGGAACCCTAACTTTTATAGAAATCATTATCTCCGGACTAACGCATGTCATTATTAAGGTTGTCACAGACACCTACAAAAATAATTAACCTAAAATCGTCGGGATTACATATCCTCCAAAATAACTATACTATAGCACACATTAAATATAAAAATTGATATTTTTCGTTTCAGGTCTAGTTTGAACTTGAAAATGCCGATTTTTGCCCTTTCGAACCAACCCACGCCATTAAATAGGTCGAAACGGACGCCTTTAAAAAATTATCAAAAATCCACCGGGATCACATATAGCACACGAAAAATAAAAAAATTGATATTTCTCGTTATAGGCCTCGTTTGAAATTGAAAATTTCAACATTTGTCCCTCCAGACCAACGCACACCATTATTAAGGTCATCACGGATGCCTACGAAAACATTTGGCCAAAAAACGTCGGGATCACATATCACTTGAAATTACTAGACTGTAGCACACAAAAATGTAAAAATAGATATTTTCCATTTTGGGATTTGTTTGAACTTGAAAATGTCGATGTTGGCCCCTCCAAACCAACGCACACCATAAAATAAGTCGTCACGGACACCCACAAATAAAAATTTGGCCAAAATGCCATCGGGATCACACATCACCGTAAATTTATGGACTATAGCACACGAAAAATGGAAAAATTGGTGTTTCTCGTCTTGACCTCGTTTGAACTTGAAAATTCCAAAGTTTTCCCCTCCGGACCAATGCATGCCATTAATAAGGTTGTCGGGGACACCCACAAAAAAATTCGGCCAAAAAACTGGCGGGATCAAATATCACCCAAATACATGGACTATAGCACACGAAAAATAAAAAATTGATATTTCCCATTCGGGCCTCATTTGAACTTGAAAATGGCGACGTTTGCCCCTCTGAACCAACACAAGCCATTAAATTGGTTGTCACGTACGCCCACAAAAAGTTTCGACCAAAAAATCATCGAGATCACATATCTCAAAAAATTCATAGATTATACCACACAAAAAATGGAAAAATTGTTATTTCTCGTGATAGGCCTTGTCTGAACTTGAAAATTTTAACGTTTTCCCCTCCAGACCAACACACGTCCTCAATAAGGTCATCATGGACGCCCACAAAAAAAATCGGCAAAAAAAACATCGGGATCACTATCACTCAAAATTCATGGATTATTGCACATGAAAAATGAAAAAAAATTGGTATTTCCCGTTCCGGGCCTCGTTTAAACTTGAAAATGCCGACGTATGCCCCTCTGAACCAACACACGTCATTAAATAGGTTGTCACGGACGACCACAAAAAAAGTTGGCCAAAAAATCGTCAAGATCACATTTCACCAAAAATTTATGGATTATAGCACACGAAAAATAGAAAAATTGGTATTTGTCGTTCCAGTCGCCGTTAAAAGCTAGTATTAATGGCAACCAGAATCGCCACTAAAATGTTATTTTGTGGCAACCAAAGCCACCACAAATACACATAATTGTCGCCACTAAAAGATGGTATTCGTGGCAACCAAAATAGCCGCAAAAACAAATAATAGTCGGCGCTAAATGCTAGTAGTATTGGCAAGTAAAACCGCCTCTAATTCATATAAAAGTCGTCGCTAAATAGTTGTAGTAGTGGCAACCAGAATCGCCACAAATACACATAATAGTCGCCACTAAAAGGATGTTTTTTGTGACAACAGGCAACCAAAACCGCTGCAAATACACATAATTGTCGCCGCAAAACCGCAACTCCCTATGGAATTTTGCAAGAAAATCGTTTGAAAGTCATATCACCAAAATATTAATGGGCTAATACACACAAAAAACTGAGAAAATCACCTAATTCCAGTAAAATGAATCCTAAATGTGCAAAATATGTTCAAAAAATGGAGAGGCTAAACATACTGCTCTCTCAACTCCCTATAGAGGATTTCGTGAAAGTGTTGCAAAATAATCAACCTTAAGTCATATCACCAAAATATTCATAGGCTATACAGTTTTATTATAATGCAATGTTTTATTTCTTAATAATCAACAATTAGTTTTGTCTTTTAAGGCATGAGTCTGGCTGGTGAACCAGTCACTTTAGTCCTTTAATAGATAATTCAAATTTGGACAATTTTTTAATAAAAATAAGTCCAAGTTTGAACCAAAAACTTATCAAAAACAGTCTCATTGTTTTTTTTAAAAAAAATAGGAATAATGTCGGCATATACATAATATACTTTTCAAATCTTACTCGTGTGGTGTTGTAATAATTTAGTCCATGTCAACTTTTCTATGATATGCAGAAGTCTCCTTGAAAGAGAATAATATGTTAATGTGTATAATTATTGGCTTATTCCATGCCTCAGTTTATATTTATTCATTTATTATTGTCATTGTTAACTTGTCTTTTTGGCAATTATACGTACTTTTTTTTAATTACAATCATTAAATAGTAACCTGATAAAAACAGCAACTACCTTGCTATAAATGATTATATTTCACCAGTAGGCAAAACAAATGCATATTATAAGTGTAAAAAACTTCTGTACCTTATTAAAAAAATTATTTATATTTAGTCAATGTATGTACCTATGTTATTATAAGAGCTTGTTTAATTTGCAATAATATTCCGTTCTTACTAACATAATTTCTTAATTATTCTTAGAGAACTTTTGAAAACAGAATAATTTTTTGAATCTTAGAAAGAATTTATCAATTTGCCAGAAAAAGACAGAGAAAGTATATATTCTTTGCTTACAATTTTCTCAAAAAATATTCGGAATCATTAGCTATGTCGACTTATAATACTTGTTTTCAAATATGAAAAAAAAAAATTGAAAAATCCATACCCCATAAGAAAATTAAGTGTTTTGACCCTCGTACTCCGAACCACTTCAAGGACACAAGTTCTGACTTTGTCTTTTTATAATTAAAAAAAAAACTAAGTTAGATCATCTCTGAAGTTATTGTTTTAAGTATAAATAATACTCAATAGCAAATTGGTACATGAAGAAGTTGTGATAATGGATGGAGAATTAGAGAGTAATGGAACTAATAAAATGCCATTGTTGGAGGGATGGAAGCTTACAGGAAGTGGACGGGAGAGCAGCCGGCGTTTCAGTCGGCGCAACTCATTTAAGTCACTCCGGCATGATTTTTTGTTAAGGCTTCCAGATAAGGTGATCAAGTCTTGTGTTTTTGACTCAGAAGCTTCATCCATCATTAATAATATCTCAAAATCCTCTGACTTAACCAAAGGTAATTTATATGTAGGGATTGTTAAGCGGTAATTATTGTGTGTTGGGGATTGTTAGTTAAGTATATTCAAGAATTAGCTTGATCTTGCTATTTTTAATATGCATGATCCAGCTAGCTAATCCATGTTGTATTTTGCATGAAGTAATTGATAAATTCTCGTATAGTAATGCGGGTATTAGTTATGTGTATGTCACGTTTGTGTTTTCCTCATACGGACAACTAAACGAGTCTTAAGTATATGAACCAGCAGAACTGTTTGTGTATGTCATAGAGATTGTTAAGCGATAATTCTTGTATGGTGTCTTAATCCATGTTGTATTTTGCATAAAGTAATCGATAGATTCTCGTATAAGTTATGGAGGTATATGTGTTAATGAGAAATATCAAAGCTGTGTATAGTTGCTATTTTATGTTGTGAAGTATTAGGAAAAGTTAAGATTTTAGGTTGAGATATGAAGAGTAACATCCCAAGAAACATGTTATTGGCAAGGAAAAAAGTGATAATTTTCCTTTTTTATGCTATGCTAAGCTAAATTTGGTGTATAGACTAAGTACTGTTTGATGTAAAATTAGGACTCAAAATACGCTGTACGAAAAGGTCCTATCATTAACACTCTCATTCCTCTTTTGACTATTGTTTCCTGGTTATAGGAGAAAAGGAATACTATGAAAGACAGTTTGAGACATTGAAGTCATTCGAGGAAGTTGATATTGCAGTCGCGTCTGATGGAATTGATGAAGAGGATCTTGAAGAACAAGCTCAACATGAGAGAGCAATGACAGTATCCAATTTTGCAAATATTGTACTTCTGGCTCTTAAGGTGTGACTAGAAATTACTTTTTGTCAAACTCTTGATTAGCATGAGAAACTATCTATTATACGCGATTCTTTGTCCTGCAACATTTTTATGCAATAGAAGTGTGAATTCTGGTTTATGCTTTTTTGTAAATCACAGTAGTGACACATATTGTGCCTTCCAGATCTATGCCACAGTGAAGAGTGGCTCCTTAGCTATCGCTGCATCTACGTTGGATTCATTGCTTGACCTCATGGCTGGTGGCATACTATGGTTCACTCATCTGTCGATGAAAAATATTAATGTCTATAAATATCCTATAGGAAAATTGAGAGTGCAGCCCGTTGGAATCATTGTGTTTGCTGCTATTATGGCTACACTTGGTATGTTATCTTCTATAACTCGCTCTTTATACCAAATGAGACTAGAAAGAACAGGGGAACTAGCACCAGACATATGTGTTGTATATGGAATTCCTCGATTTTCATAATCATGTGCATTCCTTTTTAGGCTTTCAGGTGTTGATCCAGGCTGTGGAACAACTAGTTGAAAATAAACCTCCTGAAAAGATGGCTTTGAATCAGCTTGCATGGTTATATTCAGTCATGTTAACTGCCACAGTGGTAAAGCTTGCCCTGTGGCTTTACTGCAGAAGCTCAGGAAACGACATTGTTCGTGCATATGCAAAGGTGTGTCATGTGTGTCGTATCTGTTACCTTCTGACTTCCATGTCTTCTCGTGATGATCGATTTACCTAGATTGTTGGCGTTTTTGTCAGGATCACTATTTCGACGTGGTTACTAATGTAGTGGGATTGATAGCAGCTGTACTTGGTGATAAGTTCTACTGGTGGATTGATCCTGTTGGTGCTCTTATCCTTGCTATTTACACAATCACAAATTGGTCAGGCGCTGTGATAGAGAATGCAGGTCTGTTACTTACATGTTCCTAATGAAATGTGTAGTTCTTCAATAGTTACTCCGACTATTCCAGGTTCTGCTACCTTCCACCAGCACAAGTATTGAGTAACTCTGTCTGCCACTGCTTAGGCAGATGGAAAGAAATCACTTGGTGATTTTCTTGCCTTTGCTAGGATTTTAACTTGATTCGTAGTTCTCTTCCCACTTAATTGACCACGAGGCTGCACCCTTGAGTGCAAAAACTCTGATATTTTATCAGTGTCATCTTATATAAATACATCAAATAAAACCTGAACGAAGTTCTTGATGCAGTGTCACTAGTGGGACAGTCAGCCCCTCCTGAAGTTCTGCAGAAGTTAACATATCTTGTTATGAGACACCCTCAAGTGAAGCGTGTTGATACAGTTCGAGCATACACCTTTGGTGTTTTGTACTTTGTTGAGGTCAGTCTCCAGTAGCATGATATGATTTTCCTAACATATGTAGTAAGAACTATGAAGACATACCCTTTTCAAGAACTCGACTGACTTTGCAATGTGGCTTCGTTTATTTTAACGTAGGTTGATATTGAACTCCCGGAAGATTTGCCATTGAAAGAAGCACATGTTATCGGAGAGGGTCTACAAATAAAGCTGGAGAAACTTCCTGAAGTCGAACGTGCATTTGTTCATATTGATTTTGAATGTGAACACAAACCAGAGCACTCTGTCCCCAGCAGGATTCCCAACAGTGAACCCTAAGTGTGTTTTCATCATACCAGAGAAATTTTAATGTAAAGAATAGGAACTGCCTGAATTACTTTGATTGGGAGCTCGACTGCTCCACTTAACCTCAACAAATACTCTTGGTCATGCTTGTTGAATTTGCATAATAATTTTGTGTATTGTTGTCTCATACATTACTCCTAGAAGGGGATCAATGTAGGCTGTCTACGTTACACCCCATTATGGCTCTATCCTTACCCAAACCTTGCATAATCGCTTGATGCTTTATGCACCGGCTCCCTTTTTCTTTCTCGGCCATTTCTCCAGCCTTCAGACCATACAACATAGTGATTGTTAACGATCTTAAATATCCTTTCTAGCTGTAAGATTTCTTTTCACTTTCAGGATTATTTCCTTCATGGAATTGTGGGGTCAAAGAACTGTCAGGGGTCATGAATAAAGCCACTACATCCAGCTCTGGTTTCTCCTGTGTGATGCTATTGTGTATCCAGTTTGAGAAAAAAAAAAAATGGAACAGAAAGAAAGCTCCATGCATTTCCTAATAATAATGGAGAAAAACTAAAAGTCATTTTGTATATACATATTGGAATGAAATGACTTGCACTGAGCAGAACAGAAATAAAAGATTCATAGATTTGTAATTTTGTGCAGTTAATTGTATGTACACAAGAGACAAGAAGTTTGCCAAAACATAGCACTATCCAAACAAGCTAAAAGAAGCAAGTGCCACCATAATTAAGATTTCCTATGCATAACAAACATCCACTTTTTACAATTGACAATGAGAGAACTAGAAAACAGAAAAAAAGGGGTGAAGGAAAAATGTCCAACATCAGATTTTGCATCGTCTCAAGATACAGTTCGTCCATAGCAGAGACAGGAAAGATAGAGATTTTTTGCCCATTTTTCCTGCACAAAAAAAAAGGTTCATTAAAAAGTGAATACTCACTCTCATCTAATAACCAACTTCTTTTTACATTGGTCACATGTAATAACCCTTTAAACTGAAGGTTTTCCTACATGGAGACTGCAAATATTATTCATAATACAACCATGAAAAAGTTAGCTTTTTAAAGATATTAAATACAAGATCAAGAATTTTCTCAGAGTATATGTACCTAAGCTCTACTAGACATACTCAGCTAAATCGGATGATAACACATTTCCACATCACAAGTCACCTATATTACCTTAACATGTGTGCTTGGGAACTGAGATGTTCTCAATGTCTCCTGAGTCTCATCGCCAGGCCTTCGTCGAGGCACACTCAGGATAAGAGCAGCTTGATCTAACGTAGCAGCTGTTGCTGTAATACGATAACCATTGTCCCATCGTTTATGAATGCCTTCACTAGGATAAAGAAAATCCAGCTCCACTACCTATCCGGAAAAAAAGAAAAAAGCAACTTTATCATAAGATAGTATGAGTGCATGATAAAACCAAGGTAGGAGGGGAGATAGATGAAACCAAGTTAGAAGTAACATCATAGAGACACATGCATGCGCTTCTGATAAAAATGGGAGGGGCAAAAAGTTAAGCACCTACTAAAAAGAGCAAAATAACACGAAGATGAGTTTTGTTTAGAAGGACTTCTCTACTGTTTCTCTCAACAACTCAATAAGTAGAGTTACTACAGGCGATAATTATGAAATTAAATGATGAAAAGTACTAATTGTTTCTTATGGTTTACTAATTGAAAATTGATTATCAATTTTGCCATTAAAATCATCTTTCTGTAGCCCTCTTTTCAAGATTACTTCTAGTGATACACAATTTGAGTTGCTACATATGCCTATACTATATACTAGATACAAAGCTAGAAATTTTAATTCCTTTATCAAAAAAGAGAAGTAATTGTATTTCCAGCTTGATGTTATAAGCACTGACATGTTTTGCAACTTTTTGTATATGGATAAATTAGGCACTCCACTTCGAAGAAACCCTTTATGACTCGCTTTATGCTTAAAACCCTGTAGGCCCCATCACTCATTTGTGTTTTCGCTCAACCATTGAGTAACAATTACTCCTTTACTTCCTTGTAAAAAATATAAGTTTAATGACATTACTATTCAGCTCTCTAGCAAATTTCCATACTAGATCTCTTATAATTCAACAATCTTTCAATAACTGTCGAAAGAAAAAAAAACTAAGATATGGACAGTCTCCTCTCAGCCTAGGCTTATATTGTTACAATAAAGTTATTAATGAAAATAAGATGCAGTGGGGAGAAGAGATGATCACAAACATGCAAACAAGAAAGAGGAACAACCTGGTTACTGACACCTGAATTGCGAGACATAACAACCGCCCACCTACTTCCAGCAGTTGCCATGGAAGTTACATTGAACCCTTCTTTCCACTTCTTGCTTATCCACTTGAATGGGAATGACTCACTTACTTTATAAGACTGCTGACTGAACTGTGTGCCTGCAAATACAAAATAATGATTTTAACATTCTTTCTTAAAGGAAGTCCATTACCTGGAGCCGAAAGGCATAAAGGTAAAGCCTTCAACAACAGGGTTCTCATTTTGCCACTGACATGGGGGGAAGGCCTTCAAACCATTCAGATTACAATGTTTACTCATTGTGTGTACATGCATACGCTCAAGTATGAAACTAGAGAACACACCTTTTGACATTACAACAAGAGAGCTTCCATTGGTGGCACCAGCAAGAGAACTAATATAATAGTTCTTCTCCCACTGTTCCATAATCCACTCCTGTAAATAATGCATTACAAGAACTAAGATTAAATATCAGGTTAAAGCAGCAGTGAAGTGTGGAAGTATTTGGTAGGGGTACGTGTCGCTTTTGGCAAAAATTTATTGTATTTTCAAGAATATATGCAAGTACCATACACTAACGTCATACCATTTGATATGTGTACACGTACATGTCAAATGAATGATTCCTTAGTATAGTGGAATGAATTGGAATTCACATTTACCTTGTGCAAGAATAATGGTGATAGCTCATAAACTTGGCTAGTGAAATTGGTTCCAGCATCCATGATAATAGCCCACAATTCGGAACAAGATGCCACACAACTTATATATAATCCATCTTCAGTCCCTTTCTCCACATGTTCTGCTAGCCTTGTATCTGTTACATTATAATGGTACCTAAAGACAAGATACATTGCATTATGTAGTGCACTTGCCTACACAAACCCAGAAAGTACATTATCTATAATTACCACCACATACAACAACAACAACAACAACAACAAACACAATGTAATCCCACCAAACAGGGTAGAATGTACGCAAACCTTACCACTACCTTAGAGGTAGAGAAGTTGTTTCCGATAGACCCTTGGCTGAAGATAATTACCATTTACCACCACATACTGAACATAAAAGGACTCTCTCCTGAAAGCAAGGAGCATAACCACAAGATTTAACAACAACATACTCGGTGCAATCCCACAAGTTAGGTTTGGGAGGGTGGTGTGTATGTAGCCTTACCCCTACCTTGTGAAGGTAGAGAGGTTGTTTCCGATGAGCCCTTAGCTCAAGTAACAAGTATTGGAAAGGAAATACAATAGTGGAGAAGTCATGCTGAAAACGGGGAAAAGTTATCCATGAAAATAACAGCAGTGGAGAAGCCATAACCACAAGATGTCATCCTTGAAAATGTCTAACCATGTTGTTTTGATCAGGTAAACAATTTCATTTCATAAATCAGAAGGCCAAAAATGGCGGTATACAAGAAGTATACAGTAAAGAACCTACAAAAGAATATGTTTCTCTACAAAAGACACCCAATCTTCTATAGTCTATACATCCCGGGACAACTCCTGATTACCAGTCACAAGATAAAGGACAAAGTCATGCACTCATTTTGAACAAAGATGTTGATGTGAATTCACCAAGTAATAACGCCTTTAAGATAGCTACAATATTCTCTAGTAACCATAACTAGCCTCTTAAAATGCGTATAGTGGCAGCCAGTTAATTCCTTATTTCTTTTTTATTAGGAATACTGTGCATTTGTATCATAAAATTTAAAGTTACATGTCGCCTAAATTGCCCAGTAAGTCATATAGTTTTCCCAATCATGATACTTCACACTTCTAGGGGAAATTGTTTTTAAAAGTAATGAAAACACATAAACTGCTCAAGTTTATGTACCAAAGAATTGCAGCACAAGATCAACAAGCTTCTCCACGACAAAATTCATATAAAGACATTCCTAAACTAATAAAAAAATTCCCTATCTTTTTCCAAAGGCCAAAACAAAAAAATTGTGGAGAGACAAATTTATGCAAAGTGGCATCTTATGATGAAACAGAGTGCTACTACACATACAATTTCTAAAGCTGAAGGAAAGTCTGTTCTTTTCTTTTCTTCTTTGGAATTGTTGGAAGCTGAAAGGAAGTCATAACTACAAGTCAAGGAAAGATAAAGTACAATACTCTCAAAATATTACACTGAATCACTAGCAACAAGAGAGTACCCCAAAACACCAACTAAATTATCTAGGTTTATAGAAGCTCTTGGAAATCGATAATACAACTCTTGGATACATTGACACTATACAAGCTACAGTAGGTTCCTTGATTCCGGAAAATCTACCAAATTTCTTAATACAGCTTATCTTCATCTCTAAAATAGAGAACAATCTTACGACTTTACACAATACAAACCACCCAAGACTCAAGTGACATAGAAAATACAATATGAACTATTAAAAATCTGCCTCAATTACTTAACATGTATGGTCAGAGCAGAGCCGGATAACAACAACAGCATGCCCAGTGTAATCTTGTGGGGTCTGGGAAGGGTGGTGTGTACACAAACCTTACTCCTATCTCGTGAAGGTAGAGGTTGTTTCCAAAGATCCACGGCTCAAGTAAAGCATTCCAAAGCAGGTATGAAAAGGGAATACAGTAGCGAAGAAACTATGATGAAAATAATGGAGAAAACAACGACGACAATTGAAGCAAATGAAAGGAGCCTAATTGCACAATCTGCAGCACCTTCTGATTGCTAGATCTTCAATATTTCAACCTTTAATGATCAAAAAAAATATTCCAAATAGCATATGTGCTGAATAATGAGCCTAAGAG